TAATTGTATTCACGCAGAAATGCAAAAGTAAAGTCGAGACTGCTCGACTATGAGATACCCTGTGCACTAAATCGACTCAGCTCGCCCTGATCAAAAATATATATACACTTACTCTACTTTTGGTGTCTGACTGTTGCATAAATTTTCTCAAAACCATTATACCCTGATTACCTTTTTTCAATGGGTATAAAAAGAAAATCAAATTGGTTTTTTACCAGTGCCAAAATGTAGTTTTTGACGTAGATATTTGTTTGCTTTTTTATGTAGTTACGCACACACACACAAACACACATGCACACACACTACACTTGCTATAACAGTAAACAGTTAAAGTAGTTAAAAAGAACAAAATTTGTAAATTTGTAAAAAATGTAGACAACAATTTGCCACAGTCAAGTTTTGGTCAGTCGGTCGGTCGGTCGGTTGGTCGAGCGTTCAGTACTGTTCCCAGACGTGCGCGCTGCACATCAGCTGTTCCCATGGGGGCGATGCATGTAATTGGTGACACGAACCAAATAGCTGGGACGCGCACGCTTTCTCGGAAGTGGCGCCATCTATTGTAAGCTTTTCACACACCCACACACGCACGCACTGTACACACATTGCTTAAGCTTAATTTTGTTCTAATTGTTGTTGTTGCTCTTGTTGATAATACTGCTTGCTTGTTTATGTGTAGCAAACGAAATAGAAAATACTAAAATACCAAACTCTTAACCCTTACGCAGTACGTGGTTGTGCCGATGCGTCGCTCCACAGCCGAAGCGGTCCAGATCCTCGCATCCCATGCACTGGGAGATGCCGGCAGTCCGTACCTGGTGGGCGCTGTAAGTAAATGAAATCTATACATATAGAATTTGTATATTAATATTGTATGTATTAATTCAGATATCGACAGCCATTAAGAACAAGATGCTGGCACAGTCCAGGACCGTTGATAGCGATGTTTTAAAAAGTATGTCCCAATTGGCGGAAAATGCCACAGAAATCGTCACAGAAACACTACGCGCACGGGTAAGTTAGCTATAAAGCTCTATTATAGTAATGCAATTATTTGAATTTATTTATAATTTTAACTTTTGCAGTCGGCTGAGGATGTTTACACCTTTGAATCGCTGCAGTATTCGCTGTTCTCCACTACCTTTGTTGAGGTGCTGGGCGGCGTCTTCTTCCTGATTACCGCCTGTTACATTGTGAAGGACAAGTCCAGAGCGACAGCCTCTGTTCTGGGTAAGCATTAAACATATATTTATACACATATACACATATATAGTGGCATATATATGTATATGTATGAGTGGCTAGTCAAGCGTCTCTAAACTAACTTTTCGGCGCCCCCCCTCTCAGCTGACAACGACTTGAGATTGGCGCCCGACAACGAGTTGAGTTTGGCGCCCAATCCCACCTATTCGAAAACACTTTTCGATGCCGAATACCTGGCCAATTACACAGACATTGCCTTGCGAGAGCGCGCGTGAGCAGAGGCTTTAAACTAGGGTTTTCTTAACGTACAATAGCCACACAAAAAATCAAAATAAATAAATATAAAAAGTTCGGTAGGTGTTGAATCAAAATTTCCAAATTCTGTTTGTCTTTGGTTTCGTTTGTGTGAAACTAAAGAAACTAACAAAAATTAATGTTTGGAGCGCAAATTCAGCATTTGACATAAGGCTCTCATAATCGCACACAAATACAAATACAGCTACATACACAGACACATTCGCGAGGGAGAGTTTTACTCACACACAGATAAGCCACCCACTCTCTCTCTCCCACACATATACACACATACACACCCACACTTGCTCACCCGTTCGTTCCGTTTGTTCGTTCGTTTAGATTTGCTGATTTACTCGTAATTTGCTTTGACTGTTCCGATTTGCGTCGCCTTACCTGTGTCTAATTTAACTGTCCTTTCTATAACATCAATTGAATTGCATTTCCAATGAAAATTCATATTAATTTCAATACCAATATATGTGTATATTACAGAATACAGCGAGCAGCAACGGCAGCAGCAGCAGCAGCAGCAGCAGCAGGCGCAGAGCAACACTAACAATGCCTAATATCTGCCGATCCGGGAAGCTTTGTTACACACCCAACGCGAAGGGATTCTGTGTGAAATGGCACTGACTGAGTATCATCTTTAAAATCTTATTTATATACGTATGTTTTATACGAAATCATCAGCGAATCATCATGTATTGGAATAGATATCCATAAATGTTATGTAAACATGTATTTTTGATGTATTTTAGCTTCTTTTTTTTCATTTTTATCCTTCACTTTTATTATTTGTTTCGAAGGCACATGAGGAGCATAAGCAATATGTTCTATATAAGGGCGCATGTTCCTATACATAAATACATACATATGGATATGTACAGACCCACGCACACACACTCAAATATACATAACACACATACATACACACTATTATGTAGGTGCAGGCATATGTAGATGCAACTACAGTGAACACTTTGTAACGTAGTCAACACCCACACATACATACATATATCATTTCATTGCTTAGTTGAATTAAATGAGAATGTAAAAGTCGATGTAGGCAATCGATTTAAATTACCGATATTCATTAGCTTTAATTTTATGTCAATCGACTAATTAGAATTTAACAACATATTATAGTAATATATGCATATACATATACTGTAAATAGTTAAGAGCATTGGAATTTTATTTTAAACTCTCGTTTATCTCAGGCATACGGAAAATTTAATTGGGCTAAAAATGAGAACTGTAAATATTTTAATACACGGCCATAAATTATAAGCAATTAGCCTAAAAGCTCTAAATATACATACATATAAATATGTTTTATCAATATGCATATACATAATTATATATAAATTGTAATCGTAGTTAGTTCGTTTAACAAATTTTTCTGAAACACTAAAGAACAAGAAATAAATAAAAAATTAAATATGAAATACACAAATTGAATGTTTGTTTATCTCTCTTAAATAAAACCGCCTCTACATTTACGGAATTCAAGATTTGAACTCCTTTATTCACATAAAATACAAGTCTTATATACCTAACATGAGCATCTTAAAATTATTTCCAAGAACTGGAAGGATCATTTTTACCATCCACACATGTTTACATAAGTGTCCCTTTCTAGTACTTTGCGTCGTTGGCGAGGCTCATTTTACAATTTTATCAGCTAAGGGATGACATTTTTATTACTTAGTGGAAGATAACATGATGCATGCTCAGCATTGTTTATTCTGTATGTGTATATACACACATATGTACATATAACATGCTGGAACATGAATGAATTTGATTCTATTTTCATTCACAACAAAATCCTTCAAATGCCATGGCTGCTTAGTCAATGCATAACTTGTTATCAACCAACAGGTGTGACGTCACACTCTCATAATCTATAATGCGCATTAAGAATTCATATCGCGCTTACTGTTTCTCTTTGCCTGCAGACTCTCAAACAAACATGCTAGTGTGTGCATTAAAACAATAAATGTCGCGTACCTGCGTCGACATGAACACATATGGGCATACTTATGTACATATGTATGTACATATGTACATTTACATTCATCGTTGGTCGTCTGTTAAAAAAGGGTTAAAATTACTACAAACAAACAGTTATAAATGTGTTATACTTTTAGTATATATTTTAACAATAATTGCTTACTTTCCAAGCGCAGGCTTCAGCATTATTCAGCACCCATAAAGACAATCAGTAAAATTGCTTTGATGAAATCTTCTACGAATGCGAGCTTAAATATTACGCTTAAATGTATGCACTATTTTCTATAAATCGACATCATCTCTTATACGTTTAAGCAATCAACGCATTTCGCATGAATATCTACATACTTACATGTTTATGCAAATATATATGTAAGTATGTATAAATACATATGCAAACGAATCGTTTTTATGTCTGTATGTATCCTTCCCTAAGAGAGCTAGCTTTCCGCAGTGTCATAGCAACCAGCTGTATGTCAATGCCGATTAACGTAATCAGTGCGCGAGCTACGCCATTAGCGTCATTTCCTAATAGGAAGTTTCTATTACCATGAATGAGCCAAAATGACTAAAGTGGGAATTCATGTATTTTATGAACAAAGTGCCATAGGGCTCTCAAATTGTATATAGCAACAGCCGCAGCTGCACTCTTGACATTTCAACGCAGAAACCAAATTAACAATATCGCAGGTTCACTTTTAGAAAATGCCGAAATATGAGAATTCCAAAGCAAACGTTTGCCATTTCCTTGCCTTCCGCTGTCCTCGGCTTATCTTGCATACAAATACGAATAAGACGGAAACAGAACTTAGAATCTACATTATAGTAGAGTTCAGAGCAGTTGTGCTTTGACGATCAAATAAAGAGCACTTGACTCTCAAAGAAAATATTGAATACTCAACTCAAACTATACGCATACATACATACATATATAAATATGTACATACATACACAAATATGTATGCACATACAAACATATGTACATATGTACACACTTTTATGTACATACATACATATGTACATGTATGCGTGCATGTTGGCGAATGCTCAAAAGGAAAAAGTAAATCTAGAAATCTCATTGCTGCACCTTAAATAATAATTTGCATATGTATGTATACATTTGTATATATGTATATACAAACATACATACATATTTTCATATATGTATGTATACATAATTTGGCAAAGAGCAATACAAATAACAGCTACCATCGTGTGTGACAATTTTAGTTTTCTTGCTCTGTAGACCGTCTTCGTTTCAAGCACGAGAGAACGAACGTAGAAATAATGGATAAAGCAAGGATAGAGAACTAAACAAAAAAAAACGTCTTGGATCATTGACACACACAAATGCATACATACATAAATATGTATATGTATGCGTTGAGTTTCTGTTGAGCTACGAGCATGTTGGTCCGAGCGTGAGAGTACATTTGCGTATGCCAGTGTGTGTGTGCATGTGTGTGAAATATAAAAGAGACCAAATGAGGAAATGCCGAGCTCAGTTCGTTGTGAAGTTTCTAGATGAATGCAGCTCGGACTTGGCGTTTCTCATGTAGTGAACAAGGAGTTGGCGATAATTGAATTAAATTAAAGTAATTTGGTGCGATTAGATTTTCATAAGATGGATTACCAACCTGTAAGTTTCAACAATTATCCATAACTAATTTATGACAGTCAAACAAATAGTACAAATATTTATATACATATGTAAACGTTTAATTTGGATATTTGAATGCAGATGAGCACAAAATTCGAATTGCCCAAAAGTCCCGCTTCAACGTTGCACAACGATGAAAGCGATGATGATGTAGAGTATATCGGTACCATACTTCCACCTGGGGGCCAACAGACAATTATCGACACCAAGTGGAGTCCTAATCAAAATGTGGACACAATGGCTTCCTTATTGGCCACGCCACCATTATCGCCAGAGGAGACGCACACGCAACACACACAAATGCCCATCCTGACAGCTATGCTGACACAGAATACATGCCCCAACTCAAACTTTGAGGTGCAAATACCCTGTTATCTGTGCAAGCGGCCATTCCATGACATCAAACAACTGCGTGATCACCTGACCATGCATGCCAGCCAATTACTCATACACCTACGGCAAGGCGCTACACATGTACCCAATCTCTATCCATTTCCTCCAACCTATGCCACTGATCAAGGCAATCGTAACGGATTTGTTGAGAAGGCTCCGCCGCAGTCACAAGAGCCACACCAACAGCAACAACAGCCGCAACAGGTGAAAACGACTCAAGTCGCCTGCGATAAGTGCGGCAAACTGTACATCTGCAAAGCATCCTTGAAGCTGCATCAGCGACTACATCACACACAACATCCCAACGAAAACCATGGTAGATGGTTGGCCGGAACTTCATATAAATGTCATATATGCCGGAAGAGCTACAAACGCGAATGTTTCCTCCAAAAGCACATCCGCTACAAGCACGGCCCACAGCCTTGCACAAATCCGCTGGACGAGGCTGTGCAGACTACGCCGTCGGTATCAAGTTCCGAAAGGCCGCAACGTTGTGTCTGGAGCACAAAAATGTTTAATGCCGTTGCCGCAGCCAACTACAATCCGGCCACAGAGACAGCGTCCAAGTACTTGCCGCCTGATACATCCGCAGCATCAGAGACGCAGAATCCAACTATGAAACCGCTTACAAAGCGAAAATACCCACTGCGTTCTCCCCACTTCAATCCGTGAGTGTCCAAGCAATCTGCAAATGAATTCAAGTCATTAAAAACAAAAATGAAATCGTTATCTTTCAGTAACCTCTGGATCGACAATGATGCTTATATAGAATAGATGTATACGTATTTATAAATTTGAATACCTAAGTTAATATTTAATATTTTTCTGTGAAATACGTTTAAGGTTATCTTTTAAAAATATTCCTGGACAGCATAGCTGCCGTACAGTAGATCTTAAGACATGTATGTATGTGTCTTTATATAGTATTAATATTATAATATTTATGATCATAAATAAGCTGATAAGCGTTCGCACAATCACTTGAATATTTTCAAATTGTGCTGAATTTCGAAAAGGCAATTCGAAATAAGTGTTGTAAGACACTCTGTTGATAAGGCAAAATTTGCAAAAGGCTAAGAAATTCGAGCTGCGCAAAAATAATAAACAAAGCATGCTCAGCATTACTTATTCGTATAAAAGGAAACTCAAACCTTTTGCTGAATCGGCAGAAAAAGTTATTACAATTCCAATTACATTTAAAAGTCATTCAGTTGATATCTGAGCCCCAACGGAGCAACAGCAGCGACGGGAAAACTTAATCTAATTTCAGTAAGTATAGTTTACAAAATATCCATATATCTTGTGTTGTGTAATACATGTTTCGTGATCGATGAAATATTTGGCTTTAATTTTTGCTATAAGATAAACGAGAGTAAAAAAAAAAAGAACTGTCAACCAATTTAAATGAAAGGAAGCAGAACATTTTTATTCAAAAAAATTTTTTTTTGCTTTTCAAGAATTTTGAATGTTGAAATAGCACAATCATATCATAATCACACAACTGTTATGAAATACATATATGTTGCGTGTTATATGAAATACTCGGCTTTACTTAAATATAAGGACAATGGAAATTTTTAAATACAACGGGAAAATATTGGATATTCAAATTCATTCAAGAATTGTTAGTGCCATATCATAATTATAATCATACCAACCTTGTAATAGAATTACATAGCTATAGAAATTTAGGCAAAGAATTTATATATGTATGTATGTGTGTATATATATTTTCTTGCCAAAGAAATGTCAATACATACAGACATGTAAATATCTATGCATAAAGGAGGAATCTGAAATATGCAAAATGATCGTTTTGTTGTTAATTATATCATTGAATTAAAGATGATTTAATAATAATATAGGATTGTATTATTATAGACTAATCAAATTATTAATAATTAAAAAAAAAAAAAAATATATATATATATATAAACAACAAAATATAGATATACACATAAACATAAATACATATGTATGTATATATGTGTATACACATGGCACATTCTAAAATTCCGTTAAAGAAATACGCTTGGAATATGATGAAATGCGCTTACCATATGATACTTGAAAATAACTAAAATAAGATACACATGCATATGTATGTATGTATATGCATACATCTGCACACAGTTATTTGACCAGTAAAAATAGATTTAAAAAAACCCTTGCTGGTGGTCATATTCCCGTTTCAAGTGTCTCCTTTACCACACATGTTCTACCCAAAATACGCACACACACACAACCAACCGCACAGGCTCACAAAAAAACAAGCTCACATTTAGCGACTCAAGTGAGATGCTCTTATCGCTTGCAACGCGGTTCCGTTAGTCTTGTGTGCAGTTCTAATCTGTCAGGCGACGAGAACAGAGCTGCGGAATAGTTTGTTCTGCTCTATTCGCAATTACACGAAAACATATTACATAACCTAACCAACATAATATAGGACTTGGCAGCAGTATGGAGCTCAATATACACCCAAGTTTGGTATAATTATAAGATTTCAAACTGTATAAGTGTATAGCATTATTGATTGATTTAGAACACTGATTCCATTGCAGACGCAATTCGATGGACTGCGCTCAAAATTGTTATCGAATTCGATAAATCAAATTGTCATCTCAAGTGGTCAATTCGAAATGGAAAATGAGGAGATCGATTCTTATAAGTATGGCATAAAGTGTTTTCTTTGCCAGAAACTTTACACGGACATTGATGAGCTGCAGGATCATTTACAAAACCATTCCATAGAGATCACTGAAAATCCAGCTCTGAAATATTACAACTGTGATGTGTGTGGCAGGGGTTTACGCTCCGAGGAGGAATTGAAGAAGCACATAAAACGTTTTCATGGAACACATCTGATCAAAAAAGAGATCGAGGCTGGAAATCGCTTCAAGTGCGATAAGTGTAGTGATATTTACATAGGTTCTGATTACTTGGAAAAGCACAAACAAATGGCACACAATGTTAAAGATGGCACAGCACAGCCTCCGATACAAAAGGAACTCAAGATAATCACACGTATAATATCAGCGAAACCCAAATATGCACCGCGTTCACCTTTCTTCAATCCGTAACGTATATCGTGAATTTCAAATTTACGAAAAACTCAATCTTATTTATTTTTTAGAAATCGACTCAGCTGGGATGCGTGCTTATAATCATTCAATAAGATTAACTAATTTATATTAACTCAACAAAAAAGTACCTGGAATTCAGAATCAACAAATGATAGTTACACTGACATGAGTTTTAATTTGATAAGCCTGGAATTGCTTCATACGAAATCATCATGGAACAATACTATTATTTGGAATAATACATTATTTGGATTTGAATTTATTTTATTCTGCGGTATTAACTGGACCAATGTGGCTTCGGACTGTTAAGTTATATGAAGTTTCCATATGCAGGTCTATGAAACAAGACCCAAACAAAAAGATTTTGTTTTTATAAAATATTCCTAAATATACTATGTTAAATTATTTTAATAAACAGCAGGGTTTTGCTTTATTTAAAATTTTATTTTTGTTTTCTATATGTATGGTATATGATTTATAGTATATAGTACAACATATGTTTATTTATTTCGCTCGCTTGTTTAATACATTTCAATGCAATCAATTGATTATTCGCAATTCCTTGAATCGTAGAAAAGGTGTTTTGCATGTGATTTCTTGAATTACCTAGATTTGCATTTTAGTTTTTGTCTTTTATATATTATGCATATTATATATATATAGATATATATAGAAATATCTATTAACTTTTAAGCTTAAGACAAACATTCCTTAGCAGTCCAATGCATTCTCACGCAATACCAGTTAAATATACCTACTATTCCCAGTACAAACATTGAAATATAAGTTGGCTAACTACATAAGTTATAACGAACTAACTGCACACATATACCATCGTTATGTCAATCCAATACCTTATCGATAGCTATATATAAAATTATTATTTGGAAAATAAATACTATGAAAAAACAGCTGAAGCTAAGGCAATAACAAGCAAGAAACTAACTGTTAAGATTGGGAAACAGAATCAAAAATTAAAAAAAAAAAAAATGGTTTTCGTAAGTCTTTGTTTTTTGGAAACGCAAAGCACATGTGACTAAAAACAATATACAATTTGGATTGATTTCTATAATAAATAACTATGCTCATCGCTCTTCTAACTAGTATTTGCAGGCTACGAGAACTAAAATATATATTGTGACAGCGTTTTGCCTTTTATTGATTTTATTTTTATTGAAATTGTAAATTATTTTCAAGATGTGTCTGTGATTTTTCTTGTATTGTTTTCCTTTTTTTTTTTTTTTTAATATTTTTTTTAAGTGCAAAAAATCAACAAATAAATAAATACATGCACTTTATAAATTATCTATACCGCGGGTGACAACTATTTGATTTATGTTATCATATCTTTACGCTTTTTCTTTTAGAACTCTAGATGTGACTTAGTTCTAGTTAATATAGTTCACGTTCACTTGTTTACTTGTCTTATGCACATATCTTTGTATCGGGGAGGGGGCTGTATGAATGTACTTAATATGAATCTTAGCTGGTTGCCGCATCGCCCGCCTGGCCTGCTCTGTCTGTCTATCTTTAGTCACCAGAGTTATTACTTTTCTTTTCTTGATGTTTTTAAGTTCGAAGAAACTCGTATTTATGTTGTATACAGTAGTAGTAGGGTTCTCGACTTATGTACTATTTAACCTGAGCCCGAATGTGTTGCAAAAATTCATAATATGACAAACTAGATTCACTACGATCGTCCGTTAATCTCTCAATAAACTGCGCCTTAGCAGTGCTCGTATCCCTGCAAGAGAGCATAATTAGAATGAATATTCTAGATTGAATTGATTGAGTCAGACTTACCTGATAATTTGCACTAGAGGCGGATAGGGCTTATCGTAATTCAGTCGCATTATAAAACGTTTCAGAGCATCGCTCTCGGCGCTGACTACGTTCGGCAGACCATATACGTAATCTGGTAATTCCGCCGTCGACCTTATGCCTGCGAATGAGAATGATTAATTAATGGAAATTATCTGTCAATTTTCGCTGCGACTTACCCAGCAGAGCTTCCAGCACATCAGTGGGTACATTGAGGCCCACATAGATCATTATCAGTGTGCCGCAATCCATCAGGAATATCGAACGTGAGTCCAGACTGAAAGTTATAAATGAAATACAATTGTTAGCAATACGTTCAGATGATTCTCTTAAGGCTTAGGCCTTACTGTTCCGCAGATAGCTGAAGACGTTGCATCTCCGGTAGCAGCTCGTCATCGTCGTAATCATCGTCCTGCGTGGAGCTTATGTTAGAGTTGCGCACATGGTAGACGAGTGCATCGATTTTGTACAGCTCGGGATAGATATACTTCATGAGCTGGTCCAGTGGCAACGTTTTCATGTTGTCCATGGCAAAGACGCGATCATCCAGACGCGTGCTGGTGCCCACGCGAAATGCGGGCTAAAACGGCAAGGAAACAACAATTAATTGACAACCAACAATTGATTGCGCAATGGATAAAGCTTCTTACATGCTTGAGCAGCGCCAGAATGTAAAGCGGCAGCAGGGCCAAGCTACGTGGTGCTATCAACTGACCACTCTGGCCGGAGGGAAGATTTTGTGCAATCTTAAATGCATTGAACACGTCGATGGTCGCATTGATAAAGGCGTCCCTGGCATCCGATAGACTGGACGTTGTTGAACGATCAACGGCCATTTTGGAGAGCAATCCAATGATGGCTTCCGTATCAGCTGAATGCATTACCTCGGGCAGGGATGCAGTCACCGGGAGACATATAGTATGAACACGAATGCGTCGCTCGCCCTCGCTGTTCGTATAGAGCAGCGCGGCCTGGAAGCAAATCGTCTTCACATCGGTGAGGCTCTCCTCGTACGATATTTGCATGCCATAGCCTGCATCCGGATTGACATTGGGCAGCGACAACAGATCCGTGCTGCGCACAAAGAAGTTGCCATGGAATGTGTGCACCTGCAGGCCGCGTGTACAACGCAAACGCATCACCGCCTCGAAGCCAATCTTGCGGGTCAGATAGCGCTTGAAGCAGTGCTTAAACGAGTCCACCATATGCTGTTTGGTCTTCTGGAACAGGGGAAAGTGATGCACGCAGCCACCACTGTGTTTGCTAACGCCAGCTGCAAAAAATGAAATCAAATGAGTGTCAGAATTCGATCCGATTTGAGAACACTTACATATGGTGGCCATATCGCTATACTGTTGGTTCATCAGAAACAGGTCGACTGCAATCTGATAGCCGGAGCACTCCAGAGCGAAACGCTTATAGAAATCTGTCGCTGGATTCAGATGCGGCACGTCCTTGGCCGAGCGATTGTTGGGATCTTCGCGCGGTTCTAGCGCTCCGGGTCCCTTGTTGGGAAGGCACGATTGAAACACCGTTATGCGTCCACCAGATGCTTGCTGTGGAAAGCAAATTATATAGAGTACACTTCCCATTTGATAGTTGCTAAGTCTGCTTACCATCAATTTGAAGGCCACCTGAAGGGCCGCGCCCAGCGCCGAGCCAGGATCATGGGTGTGAGCAAAGCGTTTGGGCAGTTGCTTCAGCAGATCCCTAACCAGTTCCTTGCACTCCTTGAGATTGACCAACAGACTGTCGGGACGCGGCAGAAAGGGATCATCAATATCCAGCAGCGTCATCTCATGCGGCTGATTCAGGCCCTCAGCCATGCTGTAGAAGTGCACGAAGCTGTCGTAGCATAAGAAACCCACTTGGGTGCGCGCATCGCCCGGCATCTCATCCAAATGGCGATTCAGCACCGAGCATGCCGTCTCCAGATAGCCGCTCTGTTGCGCTATAATCGACACATCGAACAGGAACAAATACATCGCCGGCTGGGGTGGACGCAACATGTATTCCGATGGCGCAATGAATTCAATAGTGCTGGATCGCACCTCGGGTCGTCGTGTCACATCGCCGTACGTCTTTGTAGCCGGATCAAACTGGAAGTCCTCGGGCACTACGAGCAGAGCAGAGAAGAGAACATTAACATTCATCATTATAATCAAATGGCGAGCTTCCTTTAACTTACGCTCGTTGACGCGATAGCAGAGATTGCATTTCCACATTTTGCTGTCCACGAAGTAGACAAACGGATTGATGTAGGTGCGGCACAGGCGGCAGCGCACTATATTGACGCACTGTATCACGGGCAGGCTCTGTGGAGTAGATAGATATTTAGATATTAACAAATGCCCCACTTTATATTTCTAGTCAATGGTCTTACGTTGACATCTCGAAATGGATGAATGACTATGCCCAAGGGCAGGCGTGACTTTTGCAGCAGCGAATTGCTTTCCGGGATCTTGGTCAGGGTGCACCGTATGATGCTGCCACTGCAGTTGATGGACTCGTGGAACTGATTGTGCAGCACCACCTTGGGCGGCGCAATCGTGGCTGGCGACAGAATATGCCTGTTTTGCATCAGATCAATTGTGTCCTGACCCCACAGCCGACTAAAGCCCTGCTGTGCCACGCTCAGCGGCTGCTGCTGCGCCTGATACTGCAGCGGTGCGTTGCCATGCTGCTGCTGCTGTGCTCCGAACACGCCGGGAGCTGGCAGCTGCTGTTGCTGCTGCTGTGGTGGAAAAGCTTGCTTATATGGATATTGCTGCGGCTGCTGCTGAGGATATTGCTGCTGCTGTTGTTGCTGTTGCTGCTGTGGCCGATCCGCTGTTGGTGGCGGTCCAAAGGGCGGCAGCTGCACCTGCGATGGCATATTCTGACTGGTTGGCAGCGGCGGCGGCATAAATCCCTGCGGAGCACTCTGCATCACAGCATTGGCGGGCATGGCAGCCACGCCTGACTGCCAGAGCGGCGGCCGTTGCGCTGCTGGCGGCATTCCAGGCTGCACTGCACGCGGCGCATTGTTGTTGGGTTCCGGTCCAGCTGGCGCAGGCGCTGGCACGCCGTAGGGCAGCTTCTGCTCCGTTGGTGGCATTGGTCGCGTGGCCAATTTGGGCGCTGGCGTCACGCCGCCGCCAAACACACTCGCCTGACTTTTGTTGCTGGGCGCATTGGCATTGAATGGTGGCACCATGGCGGCCATGGAATTGGGTAGACTAGGCGCCGGTCCGGTCCCTGCCAGCAAAGTATTCGCACTCGAGGTTTGCAATTGTTGCGCGGAGCCAGACAGGCTGGAGACGCCGCGGTAGTCCTTACGCGCCAAGGATTGCCCAGAGCCGGGCCCGTTCAGAGGATTCGGATTCATGCTCATGCTCTGCATGCTGCTTGTCAAGTTGGACACTTGAGTGGCTGATTGCTGCAGCTTTGGTTGTTGCTGTTGCTGCTGTTGTTGTTGTTGTTGTTGTGGTGGTGGCGATGTCAGCATTGTGGAGCCAGCCTGACTCATCGTTGAAACCATCTGACTGCCGGACAGCTGCGGGGTCATCGTTCCTGACGTCGCTAACGTGACAGGCAGTTGACCAGTGAACGACTGCTGAGCAGACACCGGTGGACCTTGGACTTGTTGCGCCGGCTTGGGTGCATAGCTGCCCAACGGAGCCGCCGCATACTGCGACCTGGCCGAGTCGGCGTTAACCAGGCCAGGCGATGCCGTGCGCGAGGAGTTGGCACTCAATGCACCATTGCTGCCATTGGTTACAGGTGTTCCTGGTGCTGCCGCTCCTGCTACTGTTGTTGTGGTGGAAGTGACAGGTGTGGGTCCGTTTAGCGTGGGTGGACGCAGGTGTGCGGGCAGATTGCTGAGCGGCGTCGTTGCTGGCGGCGCTGCTGCTGGACCATTGCTCAAAGCTGGTGGCAAAAACTTGCTCATCACATTGCTATTAAATTGAGGCGGCGGCGGTAGCTGAGCGTTGCCACTGGGCGTGGCATTTATTGGATACTGCGTTGGCTGTTGCTGGAATTGATTCAGTGGCTTTGGAGGGGGCAACAATTTTTGCTGCTGCTGCGGCGGTGGCTGCTGAGACGGTGGTTGCTGCTGCTGCTGCTGCTGTTGCACGTAGAGTTGTTGCTGTTGCAATTGTTGCTGCTGCTGCTGTTGCAGTTGTTGCTGACCATTTACCAAGCTGCCATTTGACGCCGCCGGCACAAAATTTGTATTGTATGCTGACATTCTTCTAATTCATGGAATGCAGCTGCAAAGAGATGGAATAAGAGAAGGAAATATTAGTACAGAGTTCTTTAGAGATTGATTGATTGTCTTAACAGTCTACATTTTATGCCGTGCAATGCCGGTTAGCATATCAACGTTATCGAATTGATGTGTTAGGCCAGTACGTGAAGGTCGCAGCAATTGAAGAACTGTTCTTACTATTATTATGGTTGTAGTTGTTGTTGTTGTTGTCTTATCTTATCAATTCAATGGCAAAAACCTTATGAAGCCAGAAATAGTTGACTCAACACTTAGCATAATCGCTGTCAAACGTGCTCAGATAACAACAACAACAACAATCGAGACAATGAACGAGAACAGAAGCTTTATAATAGACTGGGGCAAATAGATATGAACAAGTTTTAATGTCACATTTCCTGAAAACTATTCTATGCATATTAGAGGCATTGTTTATTTAGCTTGGCGCCATTTTTACTCTTTATTCAGTTAAATAATAAATCGAGTGTTAATCAATAACAACAAATGTTATATGATATTGGGTGAGTGAGTGGCCAAGGTCACAAGCTAACGGTACTAGGTCTATACACCTTTTGAATTTCGAATGTGGCTGCGGCCAGCCATCGAAGAGAACTGAGCTGAACTAAATAATTGTCATTTGCATTGCACTTTGCGTATCGAATTTTATTTCATTTCTTTGACGTTAACTTTTTATGGAACAAAGCTCTAATTTACACTATATGAACACGTTTACATGGAGTACTATTGGTTGGTCAATCGCTATGTAACATTGAAATTACATTATTAGCATAAATATAGAACAAATTCAATGCTATATAGAAAGCTTTTAGCCCTTCAGCTGTGAATATTTCTAGATGCGCCGTGATCCCTTACTTATCAAATTTTTATCACATTAACACTCTTCTTTTTTATATACAGATAAGGTCACTTTAATTTTATATGAGTTTTGGCAGCAATTATGAATATATGTATTTAGATAACATGAACAATATTATATGCATATGTATGTATATAAGATAAATATAGCTGACTGACATTCGTGAACTAGTTCAGTTTGGCTAATTATAATCTGCCAACACTAATGTAAATGCTTTGGCCTGCATCTTAGTGTATTTAAAGTTCGACTGCCCGCAGATAACTGTTTTCTCTCAATTTACTTATTTTTTTTTTTAAAGAACGTATTACATGCTACGTGGAAGCGAACAAAAGCGAAGACGAATTCGCTGGTGGAATTGATAAAGCGTTTATTGAACTGAAAAAGCGACAATGGACATGAGTTGAGGCTTGGAATGCTGATCTGTTGCTGTTACTGTTGCTAATAAGCAGCAAAATGAAATGCTTTATCACAGACAATTGGCCATGTGATAAGGAAAACAACTATTCGCATGCATAATACCAAAGCAAATTGGCTCTATCAGCAAATGTTGATGACGTCGTTATACGTCGTCGTCGTCGTCGCCACCGGCCCGTAGACATAGTGGAAAGGCATTTCCCATTTATATTAAGCTTACCTTTCTTGTTGTCAATGTTGCCAAACTAATGGGATCGTTGGAAAAAGGGCGTTGGAACGTGTGTTCTACTGTATGTATGTGTGAGTGTGTGTGTGTTTCACTTTATGTACTTGACCAGCACTTGCACTTTGTAGTTGGTTCTTCTTCTTGCTCTGCTTTCGTTAATTGACTGATGAAGCATGCACACACTTTTCACTGCGTTTTTGCCTAATGCTGATACTGCTACTGATATATTCTCTTTCTTTTGTGTCTGCAGTTGCAGTGGGGCGGTTTCTGTTAACAATTCTTTTCCAATTGGCACGCAACAAACGAAATTTATATTACATATATATATTTTTTTTGTAGCTGACAATGAACAACGGCGCTGCCTTGCGGGCCTCGGCCTCTATCTCGCACACCCAATCCACTCTCGCTCTCTTTTACTCACTGAGCGATTTTCGCTGATGTGTTTGCTACGTACTTCTCGGAATATCTTAAATCCGTTCCAGCACCGATTCACCGTTTAATTTAATGGACCAATTGCGTGCAAATCTTTTCGCATTGCAATTTCAGCCTCTTAATACACCTAAACACTAAAATTTAGAGCCACGTCAATTTTATGAATAGGCTGGCATCACCAACAAATGTCAAATAAGCGGTGTTGCCACCTCACTCAAATAAGGTTCAAATGAACACGATTCTTGAGCCCGCCAAGTCACAAGCTTTGAAAAATCAAAGAATTTTATTTATTTGCAGTAACATGTTTCATTTTGCAATATAAGTATAATGGCTGCTTTAAATTCTAGGCGGTGTGTGTGTATTATTCTCGTTTAACTTCTAAAGAAATTCGTAAAAATATATGTATATATTGCTTTCATTCGTAATTAGATTTCAATATAATTTTTTTTTATTTTTTCATATATTCATTTATTTACGAGGCTGTCTGCGCATTGGATATTCTATATAGTTTTGTATAATTGATTATTTTCAACAGTTTTAAAAGCGTAATATTCTTTATTCGTTTCATTTTGCGTTAACTTTGCGTGAGAGTATTCGGTAGTTTACAAAGAAAAAAATTGCTTTGCCGTGTGATTGTTGCAATGCTGGCAAATGCCAACTAAATTATATGCTAACTATTGATTAAATACAATAAATTGATATTTTACTTTGCTTTGCTTTGCTTTGCTTTTTTACAGGCAATTCGTTGGATTCTTGCTGTCGGGTGTGATTGTTGTATAAGTAAAGCTTTCGTCTTTATTATTGTGACAATGAAATAAACAAAACCGAAAATGGAAAATGCTTTGAATATATAATACTTAAGTTATTTTTAATTGTTTTATTTGACAAAATCAATTGTGCAGTATGCTTTAAAGTTTTGAAAACAGGAATTAATTATTAATAGTATGTATCTATTAGATATCTCTTGTATTGTATTTTCATCTATTAGAGTCTTTTATTTAAAAAATAGAATTTCTATGCTTATGTCTCTAATTTTGTTTTTTTTTTGTTTTCGGTAATCTACAACATTTTTTCACTTCTTTTAAATACATATCGCATTATGTGTCGTGTGTGTGTGTATGTTACTTTTATATTGTAAAAGGTATTTTGTTTTTAGGTGTTCTTTGTTTTGCAGTTTACTGCGATTGCCTTTGAAACACGCTAGTACATATGTTATTAATATTTTGTTTTATACGAGTATGTTTTTTTTTTTTTTTTTTTTTGTTTTTTGTTTTTGCATAGAGACTATTCTATTAAAGTGTTTGCTCTGTATATTTAATTAGTTATTGCAGTTTATATTAGATTCATTAAATTTCAACCATTGCATGCACCTAAATAAACATCTTACGTTGTCTCGTTCAAATATTGTTTGTTGTTACGTTAGCCGTCTACTTAAACTTGGCGTTTGCTTCCTCACTTTCGAAGTGTTTTGTATGTAGGTATGAATAAACTATTTACAATCATTAAACGGACACTAGATGGTTGTTTCTTATCGCTTAACGCCTAACGCTTAGCACATATCTCATAGTTCATTATACTGTAAAACATTAAGTTTCCTGCATATGTTACGTTGTATCATCGTCAGTGTTTTTGTGTCTGGGATTTGCGCACTTGTGGAAATTATACAATAGTCGAGGCTTCTTAAACTTGATATGAATCACATATATCTATACATAGCATATATACTGATATATGTGTGTGTATGTGTATAAACATTGCTGTTGGCCTTTGCTACCTCTCGCTTCAGCTGCTGCCCGTTCGTGCATTATCTTTTGGCCTCCTTTTCCTGCAAATACATGCGCTGACTCAGCGGCTTTGTATATATCCAATTATCGCCCACAGGCTTAAAGTGCTGTAAATGAGAATCAGTAATTAATATTGATATAAATAATATATATTTAATTTAGTTTACTTTGTGCTCCCAAGCCAAGTCGTATTCCTTGCGAACCTTTGCTTGATCGCGCTGCTGCTGCTCCACGACGAATTTGGCGTTTGTCGCGCGCTCGATGTCATTGAATCTATTTTGAATGGAATATTATTAAAATTTATAAGAATAAAGATCACATTATAACAAATGCAGATTATTAATTATATAGAATTATGAATTTTACTTGAGTCCCGCAGTCACTTCCTTCCAAACACGTCGCGATTCATATTCATCCTGCTCAACGATTGGTCGAACTTGTTTCTTAAATATGGGTATGCGATTTACGTCGACGAATACTTCAGTTTTCTAGAAAATTAAAGATGCACGGTGGTTTTAAGCATTTGGAGTAACAAAAATACACAGGCACATCTACACAACAATTAGACCAAGTGGGAATTGAAAACGTGGGCAGGCAGAGTTTAGTGTATTGGTTTAATTTTCTAGATAAACAAAGTAAAGTCCCAAACTATTTAAGAGAAAAGTACAAGTATCGCAAAAAGTAAATTGGAGCAGGTTAAAAAGGTAGACAGGATAGGTACACATTTAGATATGTGTAGATATAGATATATATAGATGTAGCTGCCAACGCGTAGGGTTGTTTCTTGCAGCGGTTTAGGCGCATTGTCACAGAAAGGGATTAAACAAATACGTTTTCAACATTGATAAGTTAATATACAACTCTACATATGCAATATACTGGCTTAGGCTTGTGTGCAGCATGCGTGTTGCAACTTACATTCTTATCGTGCCACTTGGCCTCCATTAGGCCGCTCCACTCGCCGGCAATCGAAACAAACGGCTTTTTGTCATTGGGCGAATATATCTAAAGAGTTAAATAACGTATTAATATACATATAATATAATTACTTATTGCGATTAACCCACCTCGGCGGTAACTTTGTTACGCTTGCCGCCATAGAAGGGCTTTGTAAGAAATTCTACGTTGGCATAGTAGCCCGTCTGTGGGCATTTGATTTCAACTGAGCCGCCCAGCTCAATCCAAGGCACAGTTAAAATAGACCTAATAGATGTTAATAAATATGCATTATTTACTATCCGTTGGGGACCTTGTTATATCATACCTGCCATAACCATTGGGGAACGTTACAATGTACTCCTCGCTGCGATCCACCAGGGTAACGACACCCTCACCGATATTGTGCACCCCAATGGATAGGCCCAGAAATTTTGATTTTGTCCAGACGTGAGCAGTAAATGTTATCTTCTTATTATAATGCTCGGCATAAAAGGCGGAAACTGTGTTAAGTATAGACAAAAATTAATTGAAGTTAAAGTTGGCGGCATTATCAACTGTCACCCACTTGGCGGATGATGAGACACCTGCTCGGCTAAGAAGGTTAGCTGATCCCGCCGACACCAAGGCACAGGACCATCCTTTACTTCCGGTTCATTTTGGGTTTCACCTGCAATAGAGGCAAACGAAATATATATTAGAGACACAGCAACATTTTCGACTTTCATTTGACTACCTGGAATATCCCAATGGCACTGAAATACTTCGCCCAATATGGGGTTATAGGGCTTTTTGGCCACCGCGCTCTTACGGCCCGCATGATAAGCGCTCAAATACCAACGACAAACCTGGACAATGCGATCACGTGGGTCATCCAGCTCTGAGATTCTAGAAAAGATTGAAATACATAGAAATATAAATGTCGATATATATATGAGTAAGCTTATGCAACTTACTTGATAAACAAATCGGGATGGGCAAAATAGTCGGCATACATTTCGAGTAAAGAACGACGCTCCAAAATGAATGTTGGCAGCACCACCTTTGTGAGATCCATGCCAATCTTCACCTGGGACAACAGATGCGTTATCATTGAGCCGTGCGCCTCCATGCTGAGGTCCATCTCCTCCTCCTCCTCGTACAGAGCATCATAGTCGATGCCATTGTCATAGCTCGATGACCGAGAGCTAGGCACTTTGCTCGAACCGGTCTCATCAACTTCGGCTACTGTCTTTGTTTTTATTGCTGTAGCTGACGTTGTTGTACCGGCTACATCGACGCTACCACCATAGCTATCCTGCGGTTTATCGTGCGTGGGCGAAGTCTCCACAAAGCCACGCGTAGTGGTGCTGAGTTAATTAAAGACTTGTTGATTAGTATTCTGCTAAGGATATGGACCAACTGAACGTTACATGCATAACTTATGAATTGCCCAGATTTAAATCTTTAAATGATGTCAGCCTTGGTCCTTTCTCCCTCTGTTACACTCAATCTCTCTCTCTCTCGCACACTTCCTCTCGGTACGTGCCTTGGCTCATTTACAATTTACAAAACAGATGGCCGAATGGACACATTTACACACTCTCTCATACGCATACACATACACACACACACACACGCGCACACAAATAGATTTGCAAGTGGTGCTTACCTTAGGCTTACACGTCGTACCCACTTCTTAAACATGGCAACTCTGGTAATTCGGTTGCGAACTCAGTTTAAGGTGCATTCAAATCTTTAATATGGCGAGAACAAACTTTTGTTTTGCATACTTTGCGGCGTCAGCTGTGCGCAACAAATTATACAGCTTCAACACACATATACATATACATACACAAACACGCAAGGAAAATCATTTACACATTTACACCCACACACAATCTCACAGTCACACAGAAACAAAAATCAAAGCAGAACCTATGAGCATTTCGCCATATTAAACGAAACCAAAAAAAAAACAGAAACAATGAGCAAAGGCGAACAGTTAACAGTCAGCAACGAACGCAACTACAAACTGACAGGACGAAATCGTAAATTGCACGACGTACCCCGGAGGCCAGAGCTTAGTTGAGTTGAACTGGGGACGACGTCAACAACGACGACGACGGCAACAACAACAATGTGTCAGCTGTGACGTGTTGGCGTTGCCAAATCGGCTGACGTTGCTACTTGCACTATTGCATAAATGCTTTACAGGCGACTGACCAACTTAAATACTAACACACACGTGCACGCATATATATGTAAATGAGTTTGTGTTTGTCTGTCTGTGTGATACCTGTGCTGCAGCTGCAGCTGCATTGCGCATGCGCAATTTCAAATACCGACTAAAAAACATGAAGTCGGGCATTTAAAAAAGCATAAGGAAGCTCACACACATACCCACACATATGTATGTTTGTATGTGTGTACATTTAAATGCAGTTGTACGCATTGAGGTAACCGGCATCTGTTCACATGGCAACACTGGCAAATAGCCGTTTGTTTAGTTTACACACACACACATGTACACTTACCAGCCAATTGGTGAGCTGCCCAGGCTAGTGAACGGATCATCGTTGGCATCGTAAAAGTCATCTTCACCTTCACTGCTCGAATACGAGGTCTCAGGTACGACCAGTCCCAATGGCGCTGTGGTCGCTGTAATGATTCAAATATGAATATCTATTAATCAAATGCATTTCACTCGAATTCTAATTGCCAATTCATCGATTAGCAAACTCATAAGCAGCCCTCTTGGGGCGCATGCACACACATGCCAACTTCTATATGTAGGCATGTATTGTGTGTGTGAGTGTGACCCTGAATCATGAAATGCCATATTTTGTTTACAAGTTCCTCATACATATCGAATATTCTGATATGACAGAAGTCAAAATACCCTATAGTTGACTTGTATTAACAGATGTTTGCATTATATTCTATGGAATTTTTTAAAGAAAGAATATCAGCAATAATAATATACTCATTAAATAACACAACTAATTGTACATGGTATTATCTCTGTGCACATTTGTTTATAAATCAAATGATAAACAAGAGTTCGCCAATAAAGGGCTTATCAAGCATTTTATATATGTACTTACATATACACATGCTTAAACAAAGAGATAAGACAATCGCAAATCGCTTGAGATATCTAATATAGCCTATGGCAATTTCAAGGGTAAACAGTCAAATTGAAACAGAAACAACATGCAGCGCAAATGAGACCATAAAAAAAATAATATGCACTGGGACGACATTTACCGTTTTCCGTTGCTGAATCATCCTCATCGTCGCCGGCCAGCTCGTTCTTGAGCGACAAATGGGCCTCGTTTGGCTTGTCGCCGATGCCGATGCCGCTGCCACCGCTGCTGCTGCTGCCGCCGCCGCCGTCACCTCCACCGCCGCCGCCACCGCCGCTGCCCGGCGATGCCATCATAATGCCCGTCGTGTTTGTTGTAACTGTGGGGCCATTGTAAATGCCATTGACGGGGTGCGCCATATTTTTGGCAATTTGTAGACTAACAATTGAGTGTTTGATATGATCCAACATGGCCTGCAAAATGCAATAAATAAACAAAAGAGAGAGAAAGAGAGAGAGAGAGAGAGAGAATGGTTTAAAACAAATACAGCACCAAAAGATGTCAAGACCTCGATTAAATAACAATGCCGGATGGACTGAGCCAGCGCCTGTCCCACTCTATTCGCCTGACCACTGATTCGTTCTGTTCCGAATACAGTTTGGCTCGAAGTTTGCCAAGGAAATGAGCAGCTGCTTTGTTGCAGCAGCTGGCGCAAGTTGGCGAATTTTCCCATACCCCTCATGCATATCTAATAATACGAGCCCTTCTCGGGCCTAACCCTGAACTTGCATTGAAAATCAATAATTCATCAAACTCTTGACTAAATTCAAATTTCAATTTAAAAACGAAACAAACAACTTTGCTTTAAACCACATTGTAAGAAACGTCTAACATGCTGTTCACACAGATTATTTATACAGAAGAAAAATTAGATAATTTTTTGGCTAAATGGATGACGAACTGATTGACCCCATGGAGCATTCCATGGATGAGATACGCCACAATTTCGAGAACTATAAAATGCGCCATGCCCGCTTGCTCAGGGCGGACGAGACCCAAGAAGCGAGGATTCAACTCGATAAGGAGCTACAGGATTTACGCGCCGAAATGCAGGAGCTGCGCCTGGAAATGAGCACACTGCATACGCGTCAATCGGAGCTTCTATGCTGGCACGATGACAATGCCATTGAGGAGCTGCCTTCGAGTATTTGTGAATTGGATCTAATGCATAAAGAGCAAACGGATAACATCGTTCCTAGTCAACAGCCGATGGAGTTAACGGGCTGCCAGCAGAAGGACGAGCTACAGCCGGATCAGGATCAGCTGGTCATCAACTGCGAGTCCAGTCCGTGTCTCTTTGACTACTGCCACATGCACGTCGACAGTCATCTGCTGCTGCTGCACTACTTCAGCGATCACAATGAGGAAACTTCCGCTTCGCAGCGCTGCCACAAGGTGTGCAAGGGCCAGCGTGTCATTCTGTCCTTTGATAGCCGTTGCTGCAAGTTTAAGCAGAATCATGTGATTGGATTGCTCGCCTATATTGGCCCATGGATGGCGGAGAAGCAGCAGCAGCAAAAGCCGCTCGATTTGTGGAAATCAGCTGGCGACATATACGACTCGTTTTTGCCCCAGGAGCAAGCTCATCTGGCCAGCAACGTGCCGATTGTGGTGCTCATCTGCTTGACGGCTTCGAAGGCTGCCTTGCAGGACAAGCCACTCGCACATCGCACCTTGCCTCCAACTAATGCCGAAAATCAGGTGTTTGTCATTTGGCTAGCGACGACGCAGGATCTGCAGGTGCAGCTGCGTGCCAGCCTGAAGCTCTGTGGACGGGATGCAGCCATCCAGGCAAAGGCCCAGGTGGCCGTCTGCCAGGTGAAAATCTGTGGAGACGCGGGTCGCTTTATGCCGGTGGATACAAACTATTGGCGTCTATCGTTCAGCGAGATTCAAAAGATATCGAATGACTTTCGTGACGAACTGCATCTGGAGATTGATCTCACGCATCTTAGCCCCAACTGGAGCCCAATCTGTTGACTGCATTCTACTCACACTTGCGTTATCCTGCAGTGCCTTGCACTTGGCCTGCTCCGTGGCGTCGTTCAGCTCAGCGATGCGTTTGTCCAGCGACTGTTGGGGATTTGTTTAAGAAATTTGAGTTTGATTTTGATTACATAAAGGTTAAATCTAATATATTGTATTTCAGTTGCCCGCCACTCACGTTGGTTTGCTCTATCATCAACTGCAGGTAGGCATCCGCTTCGGCGACGCGGCGACCGACCAGCTCCAAGTGATTGGCCCGTTTGCCACTCGACTCCTTCGTGTAGCCGCCGGCAATGTAGAAGGCGCTCTGGCTGTCCCACAGACGCGAACGATTCGCGTGCCGTCGTATTGTGTCCTCCAGACGTCGCACCCACTGCTCACGCTCGTCGGCGTGCCGCGCCTGCATACAGTTCGGTTGGGTGGTTGGGTGGTGCAATAGTAGGCCGTTCATTTCGTTTGCCAATAAGTTTTATCGTTACAAAAAAGGTGGAGCAGCAGCGCCAAAGGGAAAAGGGAGAAACAAGCAGAGAAACGAAATCAGTGAAAATACTTAAGAAATATAGACTTGACAATGTGTGGGAGTAAGTGGTTCAGATTGTGTGGACTCCTATGTGAGCTCTGTGTGGGAGGGTCAGTGTGTGAGGCTCTGTGTGTGTAACTCTTGAGAGTTCAAAAGTTTAGTGCCCATTTAATAAAAGCGTATTAGGTTTAAGCGTGTCGATATCGTATACACACATACATATATATGATACATTTGCTCTATTAGAGCAGAGAGTCAGCTCGTTTGAAAGAGTAGAATTATGGCCTATTTTGAGTAATACTACAGAGGAGCTTATGCTTATAAGTACTATTATTTCTCCTTCCCTGCCGGCTATTGCTCTTCTCCTGCTGCCATCCAATAAGTTCTGACCTCGCCCAACTATTTCACTCCATATTGTTACGGATCTACGAACGCCTCATCCGCCTCCGCAGAAAGAAAATTATATAGCTAAAAAGAAAAAGGCTCTACTCTACTTGAATTTGTGAGAATCGAGGAGGAAGGCGCTGTGCAAAATTCTTTGTATATAAGCTAGACATATTCCTTAAAGAATTAACAGGCATAGACTGAAATAACTAATTATATTGATATATATGTATTTGTGTGTACATACACATATAATACCGTTATTAGAAATGGATTTGTTTATTGAACTAGCTTCTAATTTTTCCACCCAGGAAGGAATAAATGAATTAAGAAATGTTAGCAAAGCTTCTGAAGCTAAGAAAATTAAGCAATTAAATGGAATTTCATTAAAGTCGATGTACATGTGTACATATAAAGCGGCTAATGTTAACAATTAGGCAGCGACGTTACAGTTCAGAAGTCCAATATATGGTAAATATATAGTATATAAGGTAACGTAAATAACTGTAAGTATGTAGAGCCCTGTATACACAGATAAGCAATAGTTCTGTGCAAACTAATTTAAATATTTTTGCATACTTAAATTGTTTGCAATTTTGTTGTACAGTGAAAAGTTCCTAGGACTAAAAACTTAACAAAAGTTACAAATTCTATATAATATGAACTGAATGAATAATATAATAAATAAAAATCTTTACTTAATAACTGAATTTTAAGTCATTTGATCATTGCGTTATTTAAACGTACCTGAAAATGGAAGGTCTTGTGATCCACAGTTATGGTAAATGTATTATCCTCCTGATCATCGATGCCAATGAGGGCATCCTTGAGTCTAACGCAACCGCGCCGCACTCCCTTCATCATTTTCTCCTTGGACTGTAATTGTAAAGAAAGATATACATATGTACATACATATATAATATATAAACATATATACTACATAGATACTACGCATTTTAAAGGGTCTGTGACGGCGTGTGACGCTCGCAAAGGCCAGCGTAACGTTGGAATGCAAAATGAGTTTAATTGTATAAATTAATTCAGTTTGCCGCGTCGCTAAGGTGCTCAAAACCAAAAGAATCAATTACCAAATGCCCACACATCAGCGATAAGTCGGGACGTGAACATTCCCAGCGCTAATCGGCTCGATTAGTCTACATTTGTACATACCTATATATATATATATAAATACATATATAGTTAAGGATACGGCACACGGAATACAGTTCAAAATGGATAAGCCCAGTGAGAATTTGATTGCATTTGAAACAAAGTTCCATTTGAGAATTATATACAATTTTTTATCAAAGCATATAATGTCCAGCATCCTGCTATAATGGCAACGCCTTGGTTTATGCTGAGTGTCCTGGGATTATATTTGGTTGTTGTGACCCATCTGGGACCCAAGTGAGTATCAAGAGTATCCAAGTTCTGTGTATTTACAACAAGAATTTCGAATGCGATGGACAAAATAATTTATGCAAAGCGGACTCTAAACTTTGAATTCAAGTCGAATTGACCCATTGGGGAATATGTTACGCCCTGAAACTGTACAACAGTAATCGAATTTTGTATTTTACACTTTCAAGTTTTATGCTCTTTCGAAAACCGTATGAACTGAAAAAATTGATTATAGTGCATAATATTGTTCAGGTTGTGTCGTGCATATTCGTTGTCTACGAGGTGGGTCCACATTGAAGATCTTTCAAAGTTATCATCTCTGAATATATATTGAACATTCAATACTATTGCCAGATTCTGCACATAACGGAGTTTACGATTCTGTACTTTTGGAGATGCAGCGTTGTGGAGGAGACGCCCGAACGGATGGCTCGTCATTTCCGCTTGGCCTACTTCCTCTTCTGGCTAAAGCTGTCGGAGCTAATAGAGACGGTTATATTCGTGATGCGCCAGAAACAGAATCAGGTGACCAAGCTGCACGTATTTCATCATATCAGCACTGTCACACTCATCTATATGCTGATCAATCATAATCATAAAAATGGTGCGTACCAAAATTGTTGATACTCCTCGAAGGAGCTTTTTGCTGACTGACGCAATTCTACATTGGTTACATTCTTGCAGGCTGCGATGCGCTGTTTCCCATTCTGCTCAATTCCAATGTCCACATCATTATGTACACCTATTATCTGGTTGCCGCCGTGGCTGATAAGCGAACGGTGCGTGCCCTGATGCCCGTTAAGAAATCAATAACGGTTTTGCAGATGGTGCAGTTCATACTGATCTTAATCCATGCCATATTGGTATCGGTGAATTGCGGCGTGGAGAAGGCCATCTTCATATACTTCATATTTGTTATTGGACTCATGTTCTATGGATTCTACGACTTCTATCGCAAGTCCTACCAGAGCTCCAAGCGCAGAAAAAGTTCTATCGCTGTTGCCGTTGTTGCTGCTGCAGCTGAAGCAGCTGAGGTGAAATTACAATAAATGAATATACATCCATATGTGTATATACATATACAATATGTACAACCAAACAGACAAATACACACACACACACGCACATGTGTGTGAATTTTGAAATTTGATTAATTGATGACAATTGGGTTGAGGGACGCGAAGCTCTTATTTGTGACTGACTGCCAGATAAGATAACAATTAACGCAGCTCCAGTTTAAGTAGATAAACGACAAATATTTCCATCACTTGTCAACGGAGAAGTGACGATCACTTACCGTATAGTAGGACAGCAGGCCCGCATTCTCGTCCAAAACGAAGAAGCGATATTGCCATCCTTTCATTACGTTTGTCCATTTGCTCAGCGTGCCCTCCAGTGTGCCAGATGAGGTGGATGCCATGTTTTAAATGTTGGGGCTGCAGTTTCACCTAATACTGAGCGCTGATGCCAATTTGATTTCCACTTGCACTGCCACTGGCTCAGCCTCTGCCGCCGTTGTCAGCTGATCTCCCGGGCTGCCGTTTGAGCGGTGTGTGAGTGGGATAGGTGCTGGTGTCTCTGCCTGGTGACGCAACTGTCCTCCTACTCGCTCGTACAATCCAAACTTTACTACGCTCGTAGCAGGGCTTGGAAAAACAAAGCATTTATTGTTATGCCGTGATTGTGCCTGCTTATTAATGGTTCGCTTGTTGTCTCGCTCAATAGAGCGAGTGAGGTAATCTAAAAAAAGAGTTGCCAACGTAGGCATATTTTATTGGTATTTTTATATACCGAAATGCAGTAACACTGTTTTCACTTGCTTACAATCGGCGCGCACAAAAAATTCTCGATAGTTTAACGATAAATTAACCGTCGATATATTCAAATATATATTTTAAAACATGATCTTTATTTATAAACTTTTTGGCTTAAAACTAGGAATGAATGAGTTTCTCTTTGTGTGTGTGTTTAATGAAATTAACAAATTCTAATGGTATTCTTGCCCATAACAACTATGGCTCCTTCATCTTGAACTTCTTTCAGAGCATCCTCAAATTGTTCACGTGTAATCATCTAAAATCAAAGTTAATTTCAATTAGTAAGTAATTAAACATACAATCATAAAAAACTTACAATTTGAGAGCCCTCCTTGATCTCCTTGAATAGTTTCTGGTAGGGCACAGTTGGCACTTTACCCTTCTTTTTAAGATTTTCCTTGATGGCAGCCACCAAATCGGCGCGTTTCTTGCGAGCTGCCGTAGACAAGCCGGTGGTGAGGATGCCCACGTCGATTTTGCCCGATAGTGGATCCGTGGCCGATTGTTTAAGTGCCTCGCGATGCAGACGCCAAGCCTCCTCCACATCCTGCAGCTCCACGGAATTGCTTAGCCGAACTTTGGCATGCGCCTCGGACAGACGGATCAAGCTCTCTAGTTGCCGGGGATAAGCTGAGATCTGACCACGGCCAGCGCCCACCTTGCGCATATCCACATACGCCTGGATCAGACGCTGTTGCGCCTCATCCGAGAGAGTGGGTGACAGATGCTCCCGAGCATAGGCAATGTAGTCACGCAACACGCTCATATCCTGCAAGGAAAGTTATTAAGAGAAGCTCTTGAAGCTCTGAAGTGTCTGGATTCTTACAAACATAGTGTCCTCCTCCTCGTGACGGGTCACATAGTAAAGAGAGACCAAATGACTTGCCAGACGTTTGTCGAAGAGCTCATCTTGAGGGTCCAGTACCAGGAAAATCAAATCGAAGCGCGAGAGCAACGTGTGCGGCAATTGGACATTGTCAATGATATTTTTACGCTTATTCCACTGTGACTCGGCGGGATTTGCGGCAGCCAAAATTGATGTTCTTGCATTCAATTGACAAATGATGCCAGCCTTGGCGATGCTCAAGGTCTGCTGTTCCATCACCTCGTGCAGGACACTGCGCGTTGAATCATTCATCTTATCGAACTCATCTATGCAGCAAACGCCGTTGTCAGCCAGCACAAGGGCTCCACTAGAAATGAAAGAATCCTTTAGCATGTAGTTTACATGGGAGAGCGGATCACCTACGTTTGCAGCACTAGTTGACGTGTCTCCGGATCCTTGGTCACATAGGCAGTCAAGCCCACAGCTGAGGAGCCACGTCCCGATGTATACTGCGAGCGCGGCACCAGATTGTAGACGTACTGCAACATTTGCGACTTGGATGTGCCTGGATCACCGCAGAGCAGCAAATGAATTTCCGACCTAAAGTTCTGGCGGCCGAGCGTCGAGTGTTTCTTCTTGGTGCCGCCAAAGAGCTGCAACAGTATTCCCTTCTTAATGTCATCGTTCTCATAGATGGAGGGCGCAATAGCGCGGGCCAAGCGATCATAGATATCGGGCTTCTTCGACAGCAATTGCAGCAGTTCCACACGTTCGGGTGGGAATATGTGATCCTTGCTGTAGGGGGAAGCAACGAGTGAATGTTAATAACAATTTCTGTTATGACAAATACATTGTAACTACTCACCCCTCCTCCTCTTCGTACAGACGCTTGTTATCAACCTTACGGAAATGAACCACATCGACGTGCGTCTTGTACACACTCTTCACATTCTGCCCTTTGCCTCTTAGGGGCGTGGCACGATAGATGCCAGTGACTGTGACACGGTCACCCGCCTGCACTTTGTCTACCAGATCGTTGTGGGCATATAGCAGCACATTGTGTGGCGTCTGGCCAGCTGCCATATCGTCGGGAGATTCCTGCAACTTGATGAGCTGTTTGTCTGTGAACTCGCTGCGATTGTGGATGATGCGGAAGCAGTGATTGGTGTTGCAATTGGTGCACAGCGTTGGCTGGGCAATGCGACCGCGATCCACCTCGACGGTGGTGCAGAAGGAGCAAATGTTGCACATGAAGAACGCTTCACGCATTTCGGGTATTACGTTCGACGAGCGAATGACCATGCCACTAATACTAATCAATTGGTCCATGTCTTCCGGATTCAGAGAGCGCATATTACGTGTCTTATCCGCATTGAAGGGTCGCACTTGAATCTGATGCTCGAGCTCAGCGGCCGGATATTGCTCAAAGAACATCTCATTTATAGCCATATCAAAGCCCGGAATCACCTCCTGTGGATAGCATATCAACTGGCGGTACAAGTCTTGATCAAATGTCTTCAGATGAGCGCAATTCAGATTCAGATAGGGCTCCTCCAGCGTGTGAATCTCCTCTAGCTTTTGCAGATACAATGGCTGATTAACATCTATATTTTCCGAAATCTCATCCTGCTCTGCACTGGGATCGATGAAGCGCATAATAAACGATTTGAACTTAGACTTGCATTGACTGATAACCACATTGGTGCCCCAGACAACTAGCTGAGGAGCTGAAGAGGACTCCGACACCGGATCGGTCTCTGACCCCTTTTCGGCTATGGGTTCCAGCTGTAAAAATATGGGCTATAGTATATTCTAACTGCGAAATTACAAAATATAAAGATTCTTACACCCGATGGGCCTCCAATGGCCACTTGGCGTATGCGCTTGTCCGTTCGTATATCTGGACGCGCACGCAACGGAGTGCCGCGTATACCGGAGCGTGGTGTACGAATAGAGCCCATGGAGCTGGGCGTGCCATAGTTTAGCGGAGAGCTCAAGTCAATCTCACTCATGCCGCCCAGGCCTCGAGCCGGACTCGTAGCGGGCAAGCTAATATTGGCCGGCGACGTGGGCGGCAGACTAATGTTGTCCGATGCCCTGCCGGCCACACGACCAGGGCCCATGCGCATGGGTGTATCTACATCCTGAGCAGCAATGCCTACGCACACACATAAATTTAGTTAATGTAATTTCAAATGTGCACTCAAAACTCACCTCGAGTGGGCGTGCGCGCTCCTTGCTTTGGTGTGCCAGACCTGACATTGGGCGATTGAGTTGGACTTGACATTTTCAAATTATTTCACTTATTTCCGTGCAAGTTCTCCAAGTATTCCACAACAAAAAGCAGCACTTCTCGATCTTGTTTATGGAGGAACGCGCTGTGACTTTGCGCGGGAAATGTTGACAGTTGCAGCTGAGACGCGTGTGCGTAGTGTTGGTAAATGTCAACGGGGCAGTAAGCAGTGCTGTAAAACGTACACCTGGCACTTGCCGCGAAAAACTCCAATTCGAATAATCGCGATGAAAATGGTAAGGAAATTAACTACAACATTTTCGTGTGCCCATTTCAAACTTATCAGTAGTCCGCCCATAACACAAGCAAATCGTTTCTAACATTGTTAACTTGGCCAGAACAGTGGGGCCATGTGGCAACCCTGCCCTTTTTGGCAACACAACATTCTACGTCAGTCAGACTTAGTTTAGAGACGGGACCAGGGCGAGCAGTGTTTATTGTTAGCAGTGTCTTCTAAATTACCAATGTAGCAAAATTTCAAAAAATCCGGCCTCTACTAAAAAATTAACCAAAAACAACTTTTGATTTCAAAGACAATGTCTCAATAACTTTGAATGTGAAACTAGTAAGAAAAACCCAGAAACAAAAAAAAACTAAGGAAATTAATAGACAGTAAAGGAAAACAAGTAAATTAAAAAAAAAAAAAAAAAAAAAGAGAAGAACAAATTTGCTTAACCCAAATTGGAATTGAGAAGACAGTACTAACGGGTTTTATGCACATTTCAATTGCCTCGTTCACCGTGGAAGTTGGGCGGTACGACAAAATAGAGTATTAAGTGCCCGGCGAAGCTGTACATAGGCCCTTGGACAACACGACACTGCGGCTGCCGTTGCTGGTGCTGCTGCTGCTGCAATCATGTCAAGCGAGGAGATGCTATACGCAAAGGTACACATTTACACATTATATTGATGCCCCACAAGTGCATTGTTGGCAATTGCGCGCTGTTGTCGTCGTCGTCGTCGTCGTCGTCAGCTAGCCTCATAGTGTTAAGAATGGGAGGCTTATAAAAACGCATACATAATAACAATAACAACGTGCGATGCATGCATGTGTGCTCTGTGTGTGTGTGTGTGTATGTGCGCCCATTTCATTTCGCTTTTGCATTTCCTATTCGTTTCTTGCAAGTTTCTTCCAGGTCAACCCTAATTGATGTCATGTTGCATTTTCGGAATCGAAAATATGCTTCGAAATGAATCACTTGCTTATCACAAACACACACACACACACACCAAAAAAAAAGAAGAGTAAAACTTTCGCGTTGATAAGCGCGTCATATTCGTGTGAAGCATGAGCTTCAATCACAATTGAGAGGGTATGTGGGTATGACTGTGCGTCTGTGTCTGTCTATGTGTGTGTGTACGCTCGAGTAGAGTGAGGAGTTCTGCGGGGGCAGAATTCGAGCCATGGCTTTAGGTTGCTCAAGCTGCGTGGCATTGGGTAATCGTTGCAAATTTGTGGCAGGTCATGTTCAATGTTTTGATTTATGACTCTCCATCTGACTTTTCTCTCTTTACGCTCTCTCTCTCTTGTTTAGGGCTCCAAAATTTGGATACCCCATGCGGAACAGGTGTGGGAGAGCGCCTCTTTGGAGGAGAGCTATCACAAAGGTGACACCATATTGAAAATTCAAACCGAATCGGGTGCTTTGAAAGAGATCAAACTAAAACCGGATGGCAGCAATTTACCTCCGCTGCGGAACCCAGCCATTCTGGTGGGCCAAAACGATTTGACCACCCTATCGTATCTGCATGAGCCCGGTGTGCTATACAATCTACGTGTACGCTTCTGTGAACGTCAGATCATTTATACCTATTGTGGCATTATTTTGGTTGCCATCAATCCATATGCGGATCTACCGCTGTATGGACCCAATATTATCCGCGCCTATCGCGGACATGCCATGGGCGACCTGGAGCCACACATCTTTGCGCTGGCGGAGGAGGCCTACACCAAGCTGGAGCGTGAGAATTGTAATCTGAGCATCATCGTCAGCGGCGAATCGGGTGCCGGCAAGACGGTCTCGGCGAAATATGCGATGCGCTACTTCGCAGCCGTTGGGGGCTCGGAATCGGAGACTCAGGTCGAGCGCAAGGTGCTGGCATCTTCACCGATCATGGAGGCCTTTGGCAATGCCAAGACGACACGCAATGACAACAGCTCCCGTTTCGGCAAATTCACCAAATTGCTGTTCACCAATCAGATGGGCGTCATGTACCTCCAGGGGGCCACCGTGCACACCTATCTGCTGGAGAAGTCTCGTGTGGTGTATCAGGCGCAGGGCGAGCGCAATTACCATATTTTCTATCAGCTCTGTGCGGCGCGTGCCAAATATCCAGAACTGGTGCTGGGTAAGCTTGCTAATTCGATTACACAAAGTCTCTTCTTATTAATATATATATATGTGTTCTATAATCACGCAGATCATCAGGATAGTTATCAGTTCTTGAACATGGGCGGCTCACCGGACATTGAGCGCATCTCGGATGCGGACCAGTTCAACGAAACCGTCCAGGCAATGACCGTCTTGGGTTTCTCCATTCAACAAATTGCCGATATCGTGAAGATCTTAGCTGGCATCCTGCATTTGGGCAACATTGCGGTGTCCAAGAAGTACATGGAGGGCAGCGATGTGGAGGACTCCGATTCTTGTGATATATTTGTGAGTGGCAGAAGCACTGTTTATCATCATCCCGCTGTTAATCATCTCTTTTAAAACGATTGCAGCAAAACGATTTGCATTTGCAAGTAACTGGCGATCTATTAAAAATAAATGCTGAGGATTTGCGTCGCTGGCTATTGATGCGTAAGATAGAGTCGGCCAATGAATATGTGCTGATACCGAACAACAAAGAGATGGCGATGGCGGCGCGCGATGCGCTGGCCAAGCACATATACGCGAAGCTATTTCAGTATATAGTCAATGTGCTGAATAAGAGCTTGCATAACGGTAGCAAACAGTGCAGCTTCATTGGCGTCCTCGATATCTACGGCTTCGAAACGTTCGAAGTGAACTCGTTTGAACAGTTTTGCATAAACTATGCGAACGAAAAGCTCCAGCAGCAATTCAACCAGCATGTCTTTAAGCTAGAACAGGAGGAGTACCTCAAAGAGGGTATTACCTGGACCATGATCGACTTCTATGACAATCAGCCGTGCATTGATCTCATTGAAACGCGCCTGGGTGTGCTCGATCTGCTCGACGAGGAGTGTAGAGTAAATAGTTCACATTTTGTGCACTTTGCATAAACATTTTACACTTCATTTGTTTCCTTGCAGATGCCCAAAGGGTCAGATGAGAGCTGGGCGGGTAAACTGGTGGATAAGTGCAACAAATTTCCACATTTTGAGAAACCACGCTTTGGCACCACAAGTGAGCGCTGCAGCAACCCGCTTAATGGGCTTTAATCTATCTCTCATATACCTTAGGTTTCTTTATCAAGCACTTCTCGGATACGGTTGAGTATGATGTGAATGGATTTCTGGAGAAGAATCGCGATACGGTCTCCAAGGAGCTGACAAATGTGCTGACGCAGTCCAACATGCAGCTGTGCAAGCAAGTGATGATACTCGAGGAGGTGGACACACTCGGCACGGATGCCAACAAGATTGCCACCACTTTGGGCGGACGTGTTGTAATTAGTGCTAACCGAAAACAGGTGCGTGACTCAGCCACTAAATCACGCACAGTCAACGAAGTTTGTGATGCTTATTGTAATAATTGTATTGCTCATTTGTATTTCCATACGCTTGTTGTCCATCAACCACTGTTCACTGTACTATGCCCAATGTTCATTGTCCACTGTCCACTGTCCACTGTAATGCTAAACTGGGCCAACAGCAACTCAATGAGACGCGTCGAAGAGTTAGTGTTTCTGTCTTATAGACAAGTTTTACTACATATATGCCTTCTATACAACAATATGAATTGTGCCTAATGCTCATTTCTTTATCTAGGTCGTATCATCTAAGCAGCATAAGAAAACTGTGGGCTCACAGTTCCAGGAGAGTCTGGCCTCGCTTATCTCAACTTTACATGCCACAACGCCGCATTATGTGCGCTGCATTAAGGTATATACTATACTATATATATCCATATGTATATCTGTTACTTTTTAAATACCTTTTGTGCTTTTATAGCCAAATGATGACAAGATCGCCTTTAAGTGGGAGACGGCCAAGATCATTCAGCAGCTGCGCGCCTGCGGCGTTTTGGAAACTGTTCGCATTTCGGCTGCTGGATTTCCATCTCGCTGGCTTTATCCTGATTTCTATATGCGCTATCAATTGCTGGCGCATCGCAGTCAAATCGATAAGAATGATATGAAGCAATCGTGCCGCAATATTGTGCTCAAATGGATACAGGACGAGGACAAATATCGCTTTGGCAATACGCAGATCTTCTTCAGAGCCGGACAGGTGGCCTATTTGGAGCAGGTGCGCGCTAATCTACGCAAGAAGTACATCACCACGGTGCAGTCGGTGGTGCGACGGTTCATTAAGCGACGCCGCTATGTCAAACTGCAAAAAATCATCTTCGGCATACAGCGTCATGCACGTGGCTACATGGCGCGTATGCGTGCCCAGAAATTGAGAGAGGCGCGCGCCGCTCTGATATTATCGAAGTACGCACGTGGCTGGCTGTGCCGCCGTCGCTATTTGCGACTGTGCCACTCGGTTGCCGGCATTCAGCAGTATGCCAGGGGCATGCTGGCACGCAATCGATTCTATGCCATGCGGGATTACTTCCGAGCTGTGCAGATCCAGCGGTTCGTGCGTGGCGTGTTGGCACGTCGCGCCTATCAGAAACGCCGGCGTAGCATCATCATTTGCCAGGCTGCTGTGAGACGTTTCTTGGCCCGTCGCCAGTTCAAGCGCATGAAGGCGGAGGCAAAGACCATCTCCCACATGGAGAACAAGTACATGGGATTGGAGAACAAGATCATATCCATGCAGCAGCGCATCGACGAACTCAATCGGGACAACAGCGCGCTCAAGCACAAGACCAGCGAGATAAGCGTCCTAAAGTTTGTTTACAATCGCCTTTATATAGCACATACTCTAAATTCCTGATCTTTGCAGAATGAAGCTGGAGATGAAGAAGAACTTGGAGCATGAGTTCAAGAATATCAAGGCAGCTTGCTTGGATAAGGATAAGCTGATCGAGGCGCTGAATAAGCAGCTGGAATCGGAACGCGATGAGAAAATGCAGCTGCTGGAGGAGAACGGTCACTCGCAGGAGGAGTGGAGCAAACAGAAGCAAATCTGGTGCATGGAGAACAGAGAGTTGCGCAAGCAAGTGGACTCCATGATAGAAATGGCGAAGAATGCCGCGGGCAATCAGCGCGAGCATGAGGAGCGCATGCTCACCGAGATTGACAACAAGGAGCTGAACGAAGCCTATCAGCGTGCCATCAAGGACAAGGAGGTGATCGAGAACGAAAACTACCTGCTGAAGGAGGAGCTCAGTCACTTTCAGCAGCAGCATAACGGCATCTCTGCCTTCAACATGCATCACACGCGCACCGCCAGCAATGCCTCCAGCCAGAATGAGGATGATGTTGGCTATGGCTCTGCCAAAAATACACTCGAAATAAATAGCAGATACCCAGACTTGAGGAATAAGAACGGTACGGTAGGCTGTTATAATCCTAAGATAATAATACTAACTGGGGTACCATTGCTTGCAGACTCTTTCTTGGACAATACCAGCATTGTGGTCAAGTTGCGCTCGATACTCGAGGAGGAGAAGCAGAAGCACAGGAGCTTGCAGGAGCAGTATGTTAAGCTGGCGAGCCGTAATAAGCCCACTGAGGATTCATTCCGGTAAGTAGCGCACATTTCGAGCCCTTTGTAAAACATACAACACACACACACACATGCGGCTATATAGTCAGCTTTAGTCTAATTACAAATTATATATATTATGTATATTGTTGCCACACACTTGCCATCATAGCGTGTCCGAGCTTGAGGTAGAGAACGAGAAGCTACGCAGCGACTACGATCAGCTGCGAACGAGCATTAAACACGGTGTTGAGATCAACGAGCTGAATGGTAACATTCGAAAACATTCCCACTGCGTTCCATTTGCTATATTCAATTCAATCCCCTTTCCCCTATCCTCTCTCTCTCTCTCTCTTTTCCATCTCTTTCCATATGTGTTTGTAGCCCAACATGCTGCCCTCCAAGAGGAAGTACGTAGGCGGCGCGAGGAGTGCATCCAATTAAAGGCTGTGCTCCTGCAGCAGAGCCAAACGCTGCGCTCCATCGAGCCAGAGAGCCTGCAGCTGCGTGGCAGCGATGCCAGCAATGTGCACGAGCTGATGGAGGCGTTCCACTCACAGAAGCTAGTGAACAGGCAATTGGAATCAGAGCTGAAAGCCATAACCGAGGAACACAACAGCAAACTGATTGAAATGACTCAGGCCATTGAGCGCTTGAATAACGAGAAGGATGAATTGCAAGAGGTGCTATTCAAGAGCATAGACGAATCTGATCAGGACAATATAGAAACACTGAAGCAGAACGATCGATATTTGCGCCTGGAGCTGAAGAAGGCCATAACACAATATCTGCTCGTGCAGGACGAGCTGAAGCTGGCCAATGCCAAGCTAAAGGCCTACAGGCAGGACGGCGGCAAGCTGGAGAATCAGCTGGAGGAGGAAATGAGTCGCAACAAGGCGGCGAATAATAACAACAGCAATGATGTTGGCGCCAATGTGACCAAGCAGAAGTCTCAAAATCCGCTCGGCCTGATGAAGTTCCACAATAGCGACCTGGACAAGATATTGCAGCGTCTGCTGAGTAGCCTAACGCCTCGAACTGTTGTTGGCCTTTTACCAGGTTTTCCTGCTTATCTGATCTTTATGTGTATTCGGTAAAGTGGTGAAAAATTTCAATCAATCTGCTCGATGCGCTAATCCTTATCCATTTGCAGCTATACTGACCTGACCAATGCCGATGACGATGTGCGCGAGCTATTGAGTAAATTTGTAATGCAGATCAAGAAAATGCATAGAACTCCACATCCCATTGAGAATCGCGTAATTTGGCTGGTTAACTCCATAACGTAAGATATCTGCTCTTATTGGTGGCTGAAAGAAATCTGATTGGTCTGTCTATCCATTTACAGACTCCTTAATCTGCTGAAGCAATACGGCGATGTTGAGGAATACGTCAAGTTTAATACGGAGAAACAGAACCAGCAACAATTGAAGAATTTTAATCTCTTCGAATATCGGCGCGTTATTCTCGACTTGATTGTGAATCTATATCAGGCACTTGTCATGCAGATACAGAGTTTGCTAGATCCCAAAATTGTTCCAGCCATATTGAACAATGATGAGATTCAGCGCACCCGACATCCGCATGGAATGCGCAATCGCAGTGCGGATGCCGCGTCACCGGATCATGGAAATGTGCCTGCTTGGAAGCAGCTAATTGGCCAATTGGAGCACTTCTACAAGCAATTCCAGCACTTCGGACTGGACAGCATATATGCTGAGCAGATCTTCAGTCAGCTTCTCTATTTCGTCTGTGCCGTGGCGCTCAATTGCTTAATGCTGCGCGGCGACATTTGTATGTGGGAGACTGGCATGATAATACGTTATAATTTGGGCTGCATTGAGGATTGGGTACGCGACAAGAAGATGGTGAGTAGCAACTAGTTATCTCCATACCGATTATCTCTCATCTGCATCTCTTTTCTATCCGCAGTCGAATGAGGTGCTCGCTCCATTGGCCCCATTGAATCAAGTCTCTCAGTTGCTACAGTCGCGCAAGAGCGAGGAGGATGTACAAACCATATGCGACCTGTGTACATCGCTGAATACCGCCCAGGTGCTGAAGGTCATGAAGTCATACAAACTGGATGATTATGAAAGCGAAATAACAAACGTGTTTCTGGATAAGCTGACAGAGAAATTGAATGCTCGCAAAATGGTAAGAAGCTTAGAAATAACTATAATATATAACGTGCTTTAATGCAGTCTCATTTGCAGCCCAAGAGCGATGAATTCACAATGGACCAAAACTTCATACATCCGTTTAAGGTGATGTTCAAGTACAGTGACATCAAATTGGAGGAGATTGAGTTGCCGCCACATTTAAATCTCGATGAATTCCTCACGAAAATATAAATTTAGTACGGGAGTCCGTGTGAAACAAATAACGCTCGTTTGCCATTTTGACGTGAATTCATCTTGTTTTGTATTATATTATATATGAGTCGTATTTAAGTGTAGTCAGCATGCAAAAGTGCATAATATGTAGTTCCTGTTTAGTCTAAAGTCCAAACGATACCCTTTTACATTCTATTCTTTTCCCCTTCAGACCGCCAGACTACTTTTTGCCAATTTTGTAAACTTATTTATGCAGACATTCGAAACTTGTTAAGGGTTCTCAACCAATGAAATTATAAGAAAAAAATTAAATGTATGTACATCATGTGGTTGGAGTTCAACTCCATTAAACAGAAAATATCATTCCTAAGTTGCAATAATTAATTAACCTTGTACCTTAAATTATAAATCTGAAAGAGACATATATATATATATTTATTTATATATACACCAACTATATATTTATGTATAGCAAATGTACTTAATGATCGTAGAAATGTTATAGAATTGTATGTATACAACGGCCGACTTGTTGCCTTAATCGATTGCAATACAGACTTGTAAGTGTTAAGATAATAAGAATCTATATATATATATACCTGTAACTATATACACATATGTAGCGCGCTATATTTGTAACGATGCTGTATTCGATTTATGTATTCTCATATTATTTTTTTTGTTTTTGATCTGTAACTTACGTGTGTTAGCGTGTGCCCTAAATGGAACTTGGCTGAATCAAACTGAAAAAGAAACGAAAACAATATTTACTGTTGGCATTTGCTTGAAAAGTTATATGATAAATCCTTTATGTTATATATAAATATTTATATATAATCATACACATGTACAATGAAATTATACCGGAGAATTTGTACAAAGGCGATTTACACTTGTATGCGTCAATAAAAGCAATTAGCAAATAACAGGTGCCTTGGACAGTTTATTCTTGGGCAGGTCGAGGGAGGGCAATCGGTTAGTTATCATGCCCGTTGCCACAGTGGCTCCGTTCTCGCGTATGGTGAAGGGCTGGCCGGGTGTCATGACCATCTTGCGCAGCAGCGTGACACGCACCTGGCCATGCTCGCCGGGCATCAGCATTGACTCCTGTGGAACTGAAGGGGGCTGCGGTTAGTAATGATATTTTTATAATAACTTAATTGAGCAACTCACTTATATCAATGCGAGCTGGTTGATTCCATGTCATACTGAACAGCTGCTGTATGTACTTGGATAACATGGGCTTGTTGCGTCCGCCCTCGGCACGTGAGAGCAGGTACATGGAGCCCTCGAAGTGATTGGATATATCCTCCGAGCCAGTTGCGCAGAGCAGCATGCCTCGTTCCACAGATGAAATTTTAATGCCCCGCAATAGGGCGCCCACATTTTCGCCGGCCAGTGCCTGAGGCACGCTCTTGCGGAATATCTGTATATCACTAACGCTGGTCTTCAAATTCTGGCTAAAGCCAAGAAGATCGGCGTCCGCGTTGCGGGCTATGGTGCCGCGCTTAATAGTTCCCACGACCACAGTTCCGCGTCCTGGCACCGTAAATGCGTTATCGATGGGTAAAATAAAGGGTGCTTGGGTATCCCGCGTGGGCGTTGGTATATACGAGTCGCAGTGCGCTAGCAGCTTCTCGATTGCTGGCACACCAAACGGGGACACATCGTCACGCAATGCCAGCAACGCCGAGCCACATATCACTGGACTATTGACGCCATCGAATCCAAAGTCCGACAGCATTTCACGCATTTCAATCTCTACCAATTCCAGCACCTCGTTGTCAACTAGATCCGCCTTGTTGATGAACACCACAATACGCTCTATGCCTACTTGCTTTGCCAGCAACAAATGTTCCCGAGTCTGTGGCATTTGTCCATCAGTGGCGGCCACCACTAAAATGGCTCCGTCCATTTGCGATGCACCCGAAATCATGTTCTGCAAGACTTTCAGTTAGAGAGCAATAATAATTTGTGAGCAGTCTGACTAACCTTTATGTAATCCGCATGGCCCGGACAGTCGGTATGTGCGTAGGTGCGTTCTGCGGTCGCATAGCCAATGTGACAGGCATTTATGGTAATGCCTCGGGCCTTTTCCTCGGGCGCCCGATCGATTTGGTCATAAGACATGTAATCAGCCAAACCTTTTCTCGACTGAATTTTGGTTATTGCCGCCGTGAGCGTTGTCTTGCCATGATCGACATGCCCAATGGTGCCCACATTGCAGTGTGGTCGCTCCCGCTGATTGGGGTCCACCTTTGGCTTGTCCTGAATATTTGTCGCAAACGAACGCGAATTAGCGCATATTCTGCTGGTGCTGCGGCCATTGCAAGGAGTAGTCAATGCACCATGCAGCCTGTGTAGAGTGGCTGCTTCGTATTGCCTGCAAAGCTTAAGCAAAACACGTCTCATAGTCAGAAAAACCAATGCACGTAACCGTTTGCAAAGAGCTAACACGCCGCAGTGTCCAATCAAAACAAAAACAGCTGTTTTCGTTAGCGATTACCAGCTCGCAGTGTTGTAAAATGACCTAAAGTTTAGAACGGAAATTTTGTTGCAAGAAATTTTGTCGATACGAGTAAATTTTGTAAAATGTCTTTATTTATTTGAAATATCTTCTGTTTGTGGGAATGTGTTTGAGTACGATGCGGCGTCCGTTGACTCCGCAACTTTTGAACTATTTCGTATGATTTTATGCGTACGCTTCATATGCACACCCAAACTGACGCGCTCTGCGAATTTCGTATTGCATAGACTGCACTGCAAAGTCTTCTCCTTGTGGATGTGACGATGCTTGACCAATGCGTTTGCATTTGTGAATGCTTTCTGGCATATTTCACACACCTTATCGCGTATATTCAGATGCGCCTTTATGTGGTCCTTGAGATCGCGTTTAGTCAGAAAATCCTTGGGGCACATGCTGCACTTGAATGCCCGTATTTTGGTATGCACAGCCGTCACATGGTTGCTCATTTGGATCTTCTGCTTGAACGATTTGCCACAAAACTCACAAACAAACGGCTTGGCTACGTGTTTCTCGTCGTGGGTACGCATATGGCTGCTCAATTGGCTGGCGAATGCAAAGCTGCGCTCGCACACGCTGCAGCTGAACGTTTTGCCCATGTGCACACGCTGATTGTGCTGCTGTAAGTGGCAGCGGCGCTCGAAGTGATTCTCACAGAAGGTGCACTTGAACCAGCCACCTTCGCCGATCTTATGTACTCTAAATTGATGCGCCTGCAGAGCGTGATCCGTGCTGAAGCTGGTCTGGCAAACGTCACAGGGTATTTGTTGGCGGAATGTTTTCGTTCTCAGGAAGCTCTTGCATGTGTCAATATACCGTTTCTCTGCCTTCAACAGGCCGATTGTCTGGGTCTCTGTCAGTCCTTTGATTCTGCGGGAATACCATTGCCGTAAATGCAGCACACTGTCGTAGACATCATAGTGTGTAACCACGCCCAAGGGTATCTCGATGGCAAGCAGATCAGTCATTGACATATAAGCTGATTTGCGTTCACTTAAATTGGCAAAGTCCTTGTGCGTCGGATCGTACAGCTGTGGAAACTTGGAATAGAGCGCTATAAACTGTGTTGTCAGTGGATTTGTTTCTGTAAACACTAACTGTAAAGAGTCTATGATTAGATATTGAATAGAAATTGAACTAAAATGACTTGATTTACCTTTATTTTATTATCTCCACTTTCGTCGTCACTTTCCGGCTCTTCCACATCACAGCGCTTCCCTAGGAAGCTATACATTTCGTAATAATACAAAGGTAATTTTGTTAGTTTCTTGGTACGCTTCTGACGACTTATCGTCGCGTACTGGCTGTGCAGGCTGGCTATACATTTCTTGAGCTTGTAGTTAGTTAAATGCACATTAATATTTGTTTTCAACTGCTCAATTAATGTGGCGTAGGCAGCTGAACGTTTTGCCTTATCTTTGAAAGAGCCATGTTTGGGATCCCAGAGACAGGGATGGGCCTTGTAGAGCTCAATGAATTGCGTAATTCGTGGATTGCGGCGATAAAATGTCGGATTGAACTAAATGTATATATGGAGAACAGAACTTCTTTAAATCGTTGAGTTTTTTTTAAGGAATATAATAAATGTATTTACTTTGACTATGGGTGTAAAACTCTTTTTGCTGAACTCTTCTTCGGGTTTCTGGGCAGCTGCTTCAGTCGGTGATTCGTCTCCCATCTAAGGCAAATAATTAAAAATTTGTTAAAAATAGAGATTATCCCAATATGAAATTCTTACCTCTTCTTCAAAATCATATTCGCTATCGTCGTCATCTTCTCTGTCGCTTAATGCATTTGGTAAATCCACGAAAGCTGCTTCTGCTAAACAATCTTTATTGTCAACCTCATCCTCACTTTCTATATGCATTGGCTCGGTTTTGAGCTCTTGAGAGCTGTCCCAGGACGCCTTGTCCTCGTCTTGTTCCTCTTTGTGTACATTTCGTATGTGATAGACAAATTCTTGCCATTTCTCCAGGCTCACTTCGACATCGCAGTGACTTTTACAATACGCACAGCTTAGAAAGAAATCGTCGTAATTGTTGCGCACTAATACTGTTCCACAAATAACCATTTTGAGCACATTTCCTTGCAGTCTTTTAATTAATACAAATATTTATAAACATACTTTAAGTGCTGCAGCTTCAGATAATTCATTATCATTGAATGTGATATCGATACAATTATCAGCTGCTCAGCAGTGCTGAAAAGCTGCACTAAAAACCTTGGCGCGCGAAATTGTTGATTGCAGGTCGGCTGACAATACAATACCTATCGAAATTATTGATTGCTGCCGGTATTATTTTTAGTATTTTCTCATACAAAAGCATTGACAAGAATACCGATAAATTCAATCCGTGCACCACCTCTATTGAGTCTATCAGGTGGTTGAATTAGGTGTTGATAGAAGTAGATTAAACATAAAACAAATAAGAATTATGAAAAAGGTGCTGGTAACAGGAGGTACAGGACTTGTAGGCAAGGCCCTTCAAGACGTAATCAAAAATGAGCAGCCAAGCGACGAGGAATGGTTCTTCGCCGGCTCAAAAGATGCAGATTTAACGTAAGTTGCATTTGTTTACATCGAAGCACTTGGTTTCATATTTAAAAATAATACAGGAATCTGGTTGCCACGCAGGCACTTTTTGAGAAAGTGAAACCAACGCACGTAATACACTTGGCCGCCATGGTCGGTGGACTGTTTCATAATATGAACAACAATCTCGATTTCTTGGTAAAGTGATTTCGCAGCTGTTTTGCCAAACTGTATAATGAAATTCTTCAATGCAGCGTAATAATTTGCTGATCAACGATCATGTACTCCAAACTGCACACGAGCTGGGCTGCACAAAGGTTGTCTCCTGCCTGTCCACCTGCATTTTTCCGGACAAGACTAGTTACCCCATTGACGAGACAATGGTGCACAACGGACCGCCACATGTGTCCAACTATGGCTACTCCTATGCAAAGCGTCTGATAGACATACAGAATCATGCTTATCATGATAAGTACGGTCATCTGTACACCTCCGTGATACCTTGCAACATATTTGGACCGCACGACAACTATAAACCAGATGTGAGCCATGTCATACCGGGCATGATCAATCGCATGCACAAGCTGCGCACAGAGCAGCCAGAAATACCGGAGACTGAGAAAGTGTTTACTGTTTATGGCAGTGGCAAACCTTTGCGTCAGTTTATCTACTCTCTGGATTTGGCTAAGCTAATGATCTGGGTGCTGCGCAACTACAACAGCGTTGAGCCCATAGTGCTGAGCGTCGATGAATCGGCGGAGGTGACAATCTATGAAGTAGCAGAAGCTATAGCCAAGGCATTTAATTTTAAGGTAAAGAGAGAGCATGAACAGGTCATCCAATTATTCTACTCATATATACATATTTACAGGGCAAATTGATCTGTGATACGAGCAAGGCAGATGGACAATATAAGAAGACCGCATCCAATGCAAAGCTACGCAGTCTCTTGCCGGACTTTAAGTTCACTGACTTCAAGACAGCCATCGAGGCTTCCGTGCTCTGGTATATGATAAACTATGATCAGGCTAGAAACTAATACATATTTGAACTTGTATATACATTGTATAATTGCAAAATGTATTGTGATTTGATTTGTTGGCCAACAGCAATAGAAAATGCATTTTCGTACGATATTTATATATCTAAATAATTTCTCTTTATTTAAAAATTAAATAAGAAGCTAAATTTAGATGCATAGACACTTTATACAACATGTTTAACATATTACATACATACATATTTTATACGATTTTACGATATAGGAAAAGCTTTAAATAACGGTAAATCTCGGTATTGGTGTTCTAATATTGTGGAAAGAGGTGCAGGGCTTAAAGAATGGGAAGCTTAAACTTAATGCTGCAGTAGAATAAACAAAAATATTTTATCATATTTTTTAATCTCAATTTCTGGTAAAGGAGCTCTTCTTCATTGTTGTTGTGATTTTTGTTTGTTTGGGGGTTTGTTCGTCTGTGTTTATTTATTTATTTTTTTGCTTTCTTTGCTCTTCTTTTTTTCGTATTGGCAATTCGTCGAGCTTGTCCGTAGAACCTAGGCTTATAATTTAATATTTTACAACTTGCTGGACTCTATACCATTTAAAATACAAACAGTTACAAAGAATTGTCTCGTCGTCTATTTGAACTAAAATAGAGAGAGAGAGAGAGAGTGAGTCGGAGATAGATTAAAAAAATTGTGGCAGTTAAACGAAAGATCTAAAAAAGTATAAACAGAATTCTGGGTTTCGAATAAATTAGAAAGTGGGTGTCCGACATGAATGTGGAGGGAAGGGAAGATGTGAAGGATGTTGGTGGTTGTGGTGCTGCAGCTAAGTGGCGAACTGGCGCTTAATAGAGCTCAACAGCAGCGCAAAGCTGGCTACATTAAAAATAGTTCAACTAATAAAAACGTGATCTCACATCATTCTATAATCATCTCTTTCTGTTTTCTTCAACATCAACGTCTCGGTCCTCTTCTTTATCGTCTGTTTGTTATACACTTGGTTGGCTAAAAAAGAAGCTCTGCTGGGAGCAGAGGATGTGCTTTAGAAGCGCCTGAGCAGCAAGGGCTTGCTGCGGTCCACGAATGCCTGATTTATCCATGAGATGTCGGGCTTCGAGAAGGTCACAGTTTGGTTCTCGCCGCAGCCCTTCTCGAAGCTGTAGATACCCTTGAGAACGACAGAGGAGCCGCTGCCGCAGGCGAGCGCGCTGCCCTCATCGAATTCGCACGCATCGAACTTGGTGGCACTGCAGACACTGGTGGCATCAGCACCACAAGACTTCCGTGACTGCTTTATCGTCTCAGTCACGTGCATAATGGCGCCCTCCTCGTGAACTGAAAGCGAGTGGCACACAGATTAGCATCAAGCATGCTTTATATGGATATTCTAGTTTGTGGCTTACTACTCAACGCCAGCTGGCCCCAGCCAGTGGTCACGCACTGCTCATTCTTTTCTGGATCCTTATCGCTGATGCAGATGGGGCCAATGTGCGTGGCGAACTCCAAGCGTCTCTCCAGGCGTATGATGGCCATGTTATTGGTTCCGCTCTCTGGATTATATTTGGGATGCACATCGATGGACTTGACGCCAACCAGCTGGAATGGCAGTGGCTCATTGGTACTGCCCAGCTGCCATTCGCCGGCCTTAACGCGCACATCGCTGACGGGCAAGCTGCAGCAGAAATATATATGAATACATATCATGGGTTAGTCTTATCTGCGGTTAATCTTAGGTTAGCTAACACTTACTCAGCCACACATTTGGCCGAGGTGAGGATGATATCGTCGCCAACTATGGCACCGCCGCAGAGCAGCTTCTTGTTCGACTCGCGAGCAATCATTGCTTGCCATGGAATCTCAGCGAAGTTCGTATCAATGTCCTTTATGCCTTTGGGCTTGGTGCTGACGAAAGAGGGAGGGAGAGCGAGAGAGAGAGAGAATATTAGGCAACTATTTGAATTGAATTGAATTTCAGCTCTGCTTACCGCCTGTTGCGCATGGCGCAGACGCCATTCGGATTGACGGGCCATGGATCAACGTAGTTGGGATCGCGACAGCACTTGCCGGGCGCTCCAGTCTCGGGTACCAGGCAGTCGGTGAGTGGCACACGGAACGCAGCCTCCCGGGCGCTCAGCGTCAACGGGGTTTCGCTCAGTACGCCGAGCGCATTGCAGTAGTTCTCCGGGGTGCAGACGAGCGCAGAGGCGCACTTGGCATAGTGCTTGGGGAAAACGTCGTTAGTGCCGGGTAAATTGTCGAAACCCTTGGGCGTGGGGAAGATCTGGGGCGAGAGTTGATCCTCGCCGCGGTACACGGGGTTCGGATTCGATGGCTGTGGCACACGATCGGGCTCGTAACGTGTGGGTGGCTGGGTGGGGCGTGGCTCGCGGTGTGGAATCTCATTGACGCCCACGGGCGGCAGATAGTCGATGGGGGGGCGACGTGTCGTGGTCACTGGCCGATATGGGGTCGGGGTGGGTGTTGGGCGAGTCGTCGTCTCAGGCGGCAGGTACTGGTTTGTGGGGCGTGGTGCGGGCGTACTGGTTGGCTGTGGACGGTAAGTGGACTGGGTTACGCGCACGGCTGGCAGGGTGGGATTCGTGGGCAGCGTAAAGCCCTTTTCGGGCACAGTCAAGATGTAGCCAGTACTGGACAGCGTCGTCGCGGGTATGCGGCAGCAAACCTGTGGAGCATAACAGCGATTGGGCTGCAGAGAGAAAAAGAGAGAGAGAGAGAGCGAGGTGAGTTTATTAGTTGCAAATCTGTATCTGTGTCTGTGTCTGTGTTTCTGTTTCTGTGTTTCTGTTTCTGTGGCGCATTAAATTGCCAGCAACAAGCGAGTGGCAACTGCTGCCAACCACTTGGGCTTGCTAACCGTTCATTAAAGTGGCCAATGCTGCCTGTCAATTGTTTTTCTGCTTCTTCTTCTTCTTCTTTAGTTAGCTTGTAGCTCTTCTTCTTCTTCTAGCAGTTTGGCATGTGGTGTTAATGTTAACCCAGAAATTTGCAGTTTCATGCTGCAATCTTTGGCAGCAACATTTTGAAACGTTTCAATTGCAGCTGCTCAAGTGGCAAGTTTGTCGCCTAAGTCATTTGCACACTAGCAACACCTACACACACACACACACACACACACACGAACAGCTATTAATTTGCTTATTTATATGCTAAAATCAGTCAACAATTATTGCAAACGGAAAACATTTTCGAGACTTTGTGGGTGCGTGACAAAACACAAAAGAAACAAAAGAAAAAACAAAAAACAAAAAAATAAATTGATGACTAAATTGTTGAAAAAAATCACTTATGAAAATCAAAATCTAATAATAGAAAACAAACAACGTCTAGACATATAAATAACATTAATATTAATATAAATGTGCACATTAACGGCTTCATTCAGCGGCAATTAGTTGGTTCGTTTACAAAACAAAATGCCGCTAGAAAAAAAGCTAAGACAAATTATAGAGGAAAATATGTATAAACAAATAAAACTGAATATATAAGTATTTAAAGAATATTTGATTGAAAATCAAATTAATAACTGCCAAAACGAAGATTAAATGCTTTTTGAGAACTCAGCTGGCCAGGAAAATATTTATTATATTTAATATTATATTTAGTTATCGAAATGCTCAGCTTCTCAAATTAGTTGCATATAATTTCATGGAATTCCACTAAACTTTGGGCAAAATATTTGAAATCAAGCAAAGATAATGTTGCATAGCTTCGATTCAATAACTATTCTTCGGCTCTTCAGATCTTGCTTGCTAATTAACACATAATAATGTTTAATTTTAAATTTCATTTAATATTTCAAGTTCAAGCTCAAGTTTAAATGCGCTTTAAAATTAATCGATTTTTATATAAAATCTGCTGCCGCTGTGTAGAAAGTGAAATTAATTTAAATGATCCCACACTTCTCGGCAATAAGATTATATAGCTCCAATAACAAATCGAAGACGGCATAAAAAAAACGTGTTTGCACTTTATAGGATATTCAAAGAATTATTAAGCGAACTTAGCAACAGCTCAAATTGCTCGATTCATTCGATTCTCGCGCAAATTAACAGATTATTATTGTTTTTTTTTCTCCTTTTTTTTCGCAAATAAAAAATCATAAAAAAAATGATTACGTCTTGATGCTTGTTTTGTCATAAGGCTTACGCAATCGTAATGTATTTATATAGACGCCCCCACAAAAGAATTGTAATGGAAATTCTAGCATAAGCAAATGCAAAACTGTTCAACAACAAATCCCAAGCAAAGAGGTGCGAGAGTCTTCGCACGGCCGCGATGTTGTCAACGTTGGCGACCTTCTGTTTTATTGTTTCGCGCAATTTGTAACTCATAATTCAAGAAGCAGACGGACGGACTGCTGCTGGGAACTGAGTTGATGAAGAAGAAGAAGAAGAAGCTGAAGCAGAAGTAATGTGCACATTTGTTAAAAATTAAGCGAGAAATGAGCAGCGACAGGCGACAGTCGAAATGCAGTCGAATGACAAATTAATAATTATAATTAAATGTGCGATGCTGCTGCGGCAGCGGCTGAGGCTGCGGCTGCTGCTGTTTGTGCCTGGCCTACATAAGCAGCGATCCGGTTGTCCGGTTGTCCTTCCTGCCTTGGAGTGAGTTCATTTCTTATCATTATCATTAGCCGGCGACCCTCTCTTGGCATAATTTTCATCAATTAAGCGTTAATCAAATGTTATCTTAATGTAGACATCACTCAATGACCATTGAGCACGCATTAAATTTTATGTAATACATGTTATCATTAAAGGTAAACAACAACAACAACAACAACAACTACAACAACAATGCGAAGACTGGCATAATTTGTTGTTGCTGTTGTTGTTGTTGTTGTTGCTGATCAATGACAAGGCAGCAGGCAGCGGGCAGCAGGCCCTCCACCTGATTGCCGATTAAGTCGCGTCGCTGGCTCTCTTGCTTATGATCAATCATTTTGCAGCTTCAAGATAACAACAGCGACAACAACAACAACAACGAGAGTCTCAGCTACTTGTACAGGCGACAGCTAAAATATGTAATCGCCAGCAACAACAACAATGACGCCAAAATGCTTTTAATAAATTTTGTTGGCCATACAACTTGTTCGCTGTTTGTTGTTGTTGTTGCTGCTGCTGCTTGTCTCAATTGCCGCGCACTGCAATTTGTTAATAATGTTGCAATTACAATAAGTATATGAAATTTCATGAAATTTATTTTAATGTCATTGGCGAGGCAAGGCAAAAAACCAAACCAAGCCAGCCAAGCGGCAGCAGCTGCTGTTCCTGCGCCAGCATAAGAAAAAAACAAATGACTTAGGCAACGAACTGACCAAAGGCTAATACGTAGTTCATAAACTGAAAAAACTGCAGTGGGTTAAA